ACATTGATTGAACTGGAACAATGTCCTTCTATCATCCATACATGCACTTTCCAAACCACTTGTCTTACGCCTGGGTCAGATTACCCGATTTTGGCCCGATCCGTTTGACGTAGGGTGTAGTGGGGATTCGTAAACGACGACGGGCGTCGGGACGCAAGATCCGATCATATCATCATCATGTCGACAACCTACGTCGCGTCTGCAATGCTTCACGACATTTTTTTTTATCGGTCGTCCACGACGGTTCCGTCACATGTATGAGGTTGACCAATAGGAGCACAGAAGCTTTTACAAAATGCCGTAACGAGACGATGGTGCTAACGTTAAAACTAAAAGTAAATATATATAAGAAAACAATATTTTACCTCAAGTTCTCTTTGGAAGATTGACAGCCCATACTGTCCTCTTCGAGCAATCCAGGAACGTGTCCATTGTCGGGTTTTCTTTCTTTTTTTACTTTTTTTCTGAACACAGGACAGCCAATACAACACTCAGCGCTTCAGCCATTGTTTGTTTACGTCCGTTTCCGGAAGTCACTCGCTACTAGTTTCGCCTTCTCGATGACATCACGCACGCCGTTAAATACGGCATGCGATGACTGGTCAGGAAGCAACGTGTAGTCTGACATGTCTTGTCCACGACTCATTTTAGAAGAAAAGTTACATACAGCACCTTTAAATATAATGAAATATATTGTGTACACTATTGTTCAAAAGTTTGGGGTTGGTAAGATTTGTGTTAATATTTTTTAATAAGTCTATTATGATCACCAAGTCTGAAATTATTTGATCAAAACAGTAAAAATAGTAATATTGTAACAATTTAAAACAAAATAAATAAAATGTAATTTATTACTGTGATGGCAAAGCTGAATTTTTAGCATACTTACTCCAGTCTTCAGTGTCGCATGAAATCATTCTTATGGTGCTGAAGAAACATTTCTTATTGTCAGTATGATGAAAACAGCTGCTTAATATTTTTTTGTGTGTCTGTGAAAACCATGATGATGATTTTGTCTGTGATGAATAGAGAGTTCAAAAAAAATTATTGATTGGAAACAAATAATTAACTAATTATCAAAATAAAGTTTTCAGAAAATTATATACATTTAAAGTTTGAGTCCAAGAGGCATTTTAGGCAATTTGGTCGAATGTGATAAACATGAAAATGGCTGTATTTTGGGGGTCCTTGGCTCAATTGTCAATTGTGAAATATACTGTGCATTGTGGTAGTGATAGAGTTCTGTTTATTTTCTCCCATTTCAAGCTTATTATCTTGAAAAATACCAATGTGCTTGAAGATGACTGCTCATATAGATGTTTTGTTTAGATTGTTATTCCTCTCTGGGTTCATTGTAAGCTATAAACCACTTTTAAGATGAGATTTTCCTGTCAGATCCAGTAAACACTTCAGACTAAAGTTTGATTGCCAATTGAGAGTTTGATTGGGACAAATCAAACCTCAGAGACAACAAATTTCGAGAGCACCTGAATTTGAAAGGCTTGTAATGGCTTGATGAAACTGGAGTCACCGCGGCAGTCGCACTTTGAAAAGACGGTCTGGAATTCAAGCTCACAGGATCCAGACAATGTGTTTCAGAGAATGTGTTAAGATGAAGAGATAACTATACAGTCATCACAGAAATAGCTTGTGTTAGATGACTAATGTGACTGTCAATTGTTCACACATCTAATCATTGTACACTCTCACTTGAGCAGAGCAGAATCATTAGTTCTGTCACATTACTGGTTTGCACTGTGTTCTGCTCATGACAGATTTGTGCACTTATGTAACCAGTCATTATTTATTTAGATTTAGATAGCACTTTGCTATTCCCTATTTCTCTTAGTATATTGTTTATACAATTGCCCCAAAAAGCATTTGGACACTTGGATCACATTTATGAATATCATTATAAAAATATCAGCAATCTGCAATAAAATACTAATGCTTTTCTCAGAACTAACTTCACTCTGGCTATTTTTGGCTATTGCTTTTCGAAGAGGATTTTTAGAGGATTAATGAAGTTCACACAGGTATTCTTTGGCACTAACTTTCAAAAGTAAGATTTTACAGTTGTACAGTTTTTGTAAGAAATCTCTTATGTTCACCAAGGCTGCATTTATTTAATCAGAAATACAGAAAAAATGTAATTTGTGAAATATTATTACAATTTAAAATTGAATGAATTAGTGGACCTGCGGCATAATGTAAATTTTGTTGGAGTTGTTGCTCCAACTGTGCTGCAATAGTTTAAGGAGTTTAGTATAAATTATTTGAGGGAGAAGAATAAAATGCGAGTAAAAATAAATTCTGATATCTTATTTTAGTTTTAAAGTGTGTGCCCTTCCATTAGTAATATCTGTTCTCATTAAGAGTGGAAGGCTCTCGGGCCCTCTCAATGTCTTCATTACTGTAAAACAGGACTCAATAGCATTGATCTCTCAGTCAAGAGTATGTGGTTGTAAAGGTTTGAGAATTCTTTTTTGGAAACATCCTCACAAATGTAGTGAAACATGATTTTGCGGACATTGAGTTGTCCTTACTATTTAACAGAGTGCGTGTAATTTAATCCCAGTGACTATATTTTTTCTTCCAAACAACCTTTCCTGAAGAGTGCTTGAAAGGGTCTATGTCACTTCCCTTCTGTTTCATCACTGCTTGTGATTTGATTCATGAATATAATTTCAGCGTTCATACGGTGCACTTTGATTCGTCCTTTAAAATAACCAGATATGTTTATGTCAGAACGAGACTAGATTGCACTTAAATTCATTTTCGATTACCTCCTTTACCAAAGCATAAAAGATAAAAGATAACCCAACTGCTATTTGAGCAGTGTCTCTATATAGTAGTGGTTTAGCCATATTTCTGGTGTATCTCTGCTGGTTTGAACTTAATGATTTATATCTGATTGTAATGCAGCTGCTGTGAGTTGCTCAGCACCAGAAAGCATCAAATATAGATTAATGCATTTCATGAGACCTCATTCATCTATTCATCTATATCTTCATGGTCTGCTTTTACAGATAGATAGATAGATAGATAGATAGATGGATAGATAGATAGATAGATAGATAGATAGATAGATAGATAGATAGATAGATAGATAGATAGATAGATAGATAGATAGATAGATAGATAGATAGATAGATAGATAGATAGATAGATAGATAGATAGATACATAGATAGATACATAGATAGATACATAGATAGATACATACATAGATAGATACATAGATAGATACATAGATAAACAGACAGACAGATAGACAGACAGGATGGATTCGTGGATTGGGGGAATGTGTTGGAAAAACAGAGCGTTTTGCAGCCAACTGCAGATTTTACTCTCATCCAATCCATTCCAGTTTCCACGGCAACTACTGAAGCTGAATTTGGAGTGAAAATAAGATCTTGCGAGTCCAATAATAAATAAAGCTATATGCAGAATGTTACATTATATTCATTCAGCCCATGGGCCTTTGGGCTTCAGCATTTTAATTTGTTACCTGCCTGTTTGGCTTATTCCGAAAAAAGTGAAAACAGAAGAAACTAAATGGTGGATTAAATTCAGTAAGTGAGGCCAAACGTTTCTCTCTCGCCGGGGTGAAACAGTATGTCATATGGATTAACAACAAAGCACAATCATTTAATTCCATTAGTCAGCATCAGACATTCGATACTAATGAAGTCCTTGCTACTAATTAATCTAAAATCCAAATCGAAAAAGACACAAATTAGACTAAATATGGACCTTACAAACAAGTCCAGGTTCCTGACCCCTAGTAGCAGATACTATGTTGAAATCACAGTACCAGCCAGATACTAGGGCTGTGTTTAACTCCATTTAGGCATATACTTACTAACTTCCCTAAGCACTTTCCTTTCCCCCCACCACCATTTTGAAATGTGTTCAACTTCGTCAAGTGGGCGGGGGAAGTGTATTTGGACAGACCCGTGAACCCTTCATTTTGACTACTCAAAATTCTACTTAATAATACTTCAGGCAGATCCATAGACACAATGCAACATGAGGGTGACATCACAGCAGATCGCGCTTTTACCTCCACACAACTCTAGTGTATGATATTGGAGTAATGTGACTGCATAATACATGTAGCTGACTGTTATAGTTTATTGTATTGTTATAATTTTTTGTTTTGTGTAATTTTTTATATTTTCTCCAACAGACCAAGCCTACACTCAAACCTATAGAATGATGCATAAAGCTAATTCATAAGGGGGAAAAAACTGCAAATAATAAATCAGCTCCATTGCAAGTGTTTTCCATTTCCCATAGTGGGCACCCATGCTACTTAAAGAGACAGTTCACCCAAAAATGTAAATTATTCCATAATTTACTCACCCTCAGGCCATCCTACTGTAGGTGTATATGACTTTTATGATAGATTGAGCTTTTTTTGGGCTTCAAAATCTCAGTTCACTTACATTATATTGTACACTTAGAATGGCTTGAGGGTGAGTAAATTACATTTTTGGGTGAATTAACTCTTTAAGGAATAGCATATATCCGAGTGAATGAGATGGAGGGAAGTTGGCGAGGGAAGGGCATAAAAGATGGACTTAAACGTATCCATTCAGGAAGCCAGGACATGTTTTGCTTCTCATTCTATTTAAACGTGATCATTAAATGTATATTTTTTACTGGGAGGTAAATTGCTAATAGTTAGCGTTAAAGTTACAAAATGGCCACAAAGTTCAAAGTGTGACATGCTGAATTCCATTTAAATCAACAGTCATATTGTATCATAATTGTGTATGCAGTTTTTATGGTCTTGTATTAATTGAAAGATTATGTGTCTGTTTTAAAAACTAATTTGATTTCAAATTCACATTTCAAATCAATAACTGAAATTAAAAGATTGGTAAAAGCAGTGAATGGTGACCAGTTACAGCATCTAAAAACACAAACTTATGTTATATATATATTTCTTGATGTTGAAAAAAATATATATATATATTTGTCTCTGTCCTGCAGATGGCGCTCCACTGAGTGAGCTGTCCTGGTCGTCCTCTCTGGCTGTGGTGGCTGTGTCTTTCTCTGGACTCTTTACCTTCATCTTCCTCATGCTGGCTTGCCTCTGCTGTAAACGAGGTGACATTGGCTTTAAGGTGAGACCCTCTTTCATTTCAATCTCTTTTTAAAACAAATGCTCTTAAATCCCAACATTATTTACAGGGCCCAATCTTTGAAATAGGCCGACTCAGTAAATATCAGTTCCAATCAGAATATTTATAATAAAAAACAATGATAAGCACATAATGCATTTTCAGAATTTTTTATCAAATAAAATAAAAAATATTTTTTTCAAACTAAATTCATTCATGTGTATTGTTTAGTGAAAATGTAGAAAAGGACAACTCTGCATTCTAATAATTAGCTTCGCTTCTCCACTAAATTTATCTTGTTTTCATTTTTTTTTATATTCATTAGGAATATTATTTTCTACAGTGCACCAAAAACAATAACATTCTGTTTTGTACAGTAAATGCTATGGCATTCTCATGCTACAGGCACGTGGTGCACATAGACATTAAAATTGGCTTGAGTACCTGACCTTTTTATTCCTGGAGAGAAAGTGCCCTTTTTTCTGGGGTGTTTTTTTTTTTTTTTTTAATTTTTAAAAAATAATATATAGTCCTGTTTGCACACAGCTTCCCTGTCAAACAAACATATTTATTGAATAGTGTATGTATCTAAATATCAGATCAGGAGTTCTGAAGCGCCGATGCGTCTCCTCTAGTGAGTTTGAGCCGAGCGGACAAACAAATGAGTTTCGTTCCGCTTTTAGCACATAAACATTATCAAACACTTATCGAACTCGATATTGATATCAAGTATTGACTCGATATTGATATTAAGCATTGACGATATGGACTCGAACTTGATATTATCGAGAAAAACTATATTGCGATGATGAATGAATGAGCATATCAATTTAAGACGTGGCTTAATGTAATTTATGACCTTTTATGGAAAATCCGGACGTTTTTATGACATTTTATGGCCTTATTATTAAAGTTAATGACTTACATACATCTTTCCCCCTGAAATTTTGAAATCTAAGTAGTGAATTTAGAAGAAATCTACAGATGCAAACATGGAGGATAGTAGGTTTAAAACAAACAATTAAAAACTCAATCTAAATGTGGATTTTGATGATGATGATATAGTCCTTCATCAAATGTGAAACTAAGTCCATTTCACCATCAGGTGTATCAAATATATACTTGATAGAAACAGTAGCATAGAAAACATGTACATTGTGCTGCGCTATAAACCCCATGAATACTAATGACAGCATGGTTTCTGTGTGAACTGATTATTTTGTTGACATTTTTTGCATGAGTTTGAAGAAAATTTTTTTTAATACATTTATGTGTAAATATATACAATTTTGTTTAAAAAAGTTAAGAAAAACTTTTAAAAAAACTAATAATGAGAAGTGCCCTTTTTTTTTTTCACTTGAGCCGCTTGCCCCTCAAAATATCTGTGCACGTCCCTGCATGCTACTGTCTATGAATATGTAATATATGTGCATTAAGGATGTGACGGAAGACCCGGAGGCAAAGATTTATTATATTTACCAAACAAGTAAATAAATGAGCATGAAATATTAATTTGAGTTGAAATTATTAATCGTGGAGAAAGAGAGTACAGAGTTAAACATGAGCCATGAAACTAGCTAGAGTCTCAGTTATTATCATTTAGCCATTATCATACAAAATTTCCACTGACCAATCACAATCAAGTGTTAAGACATTGATATAAATGCCACTATTCCGATTTAATCACGATTGTGTCATAGAACGGTTTTTGGCTGGGAGAGATTTCAATCAGTCTTTTCAGCAGTGAATTAACACAAAAACATCTCCCTCTGTTGCGGCTTCTTGGCCTGTTGCCGTACAGTCATGAATGAAATTGTGAAGTCTGAAAAGCATCATTCATGAATCACTTTCAGATCTGTAGGAATGCTTTGATCAGCTACTTGAAAAGTAGCACAGCACATGCACACATGCTTTCTGTTCAGCTGTATGGATGTCCTCTTGCCCTTTTGAAGGCCAAGAGTTTCAGAGAAAAGCCATTTCTGCAGAGCAAACCACTTAGTCCTGTCTCATAAGGGTAAAGGAGCCAAGGCAAAGAGAGCACACTTTCCTCTAGACGTGTTTTTGTAGTGAGCAGCGGAGGCCTTCAGAAGGCATATGACCTGAGATCTCTGTGCATTTTTCAGCAGCAACTTTAAAGTGGGTCAAGGCACAGGAGAAATTAAACTTGTGTATGTGACAAGAGGATAGCTCTTTCATGCTTCTAAGCACATTGTCTCCAGTAAAGGCCAAATATTTGTAATTACAATCCCTCAGTGGAACTACATCTCAGCACTTCAACACCAGCTCTCTCTCTCTCTAACACAATTCCTGTCTCTACTTAAAGTCTTTTTATACATAAGTTGGAAGTCTGACAGGCCTGAAGGTAATTGATTCATTCCTCTTAAGCATTCTCGAGGCGTCACACGCACGCTTACACAATATGCGAGCACTGTAAAAATATGTGTTTGTTGGGTAGAGCTGAGACTACAGTGCTTTCATAAAGTGCAAGTGTGTTTTATATGCAATATGTTTGGAGCTGTGTAAGCAGGGTTAATATTGAAAACTCTTCGAGTGTTGGTGAATAAATTGGAGATATTCATCTGTTGTGGTAACTTCATCATGTACTGCAACATTATATGCTTAAAAAGGAATTTTGTGAATGATCTTTTTTGATGTAACACAATTCAATGCATAAAGGCCTGTTCACACCGGGACGAATTTCGCGCGCATTATTCGCCGACGTTTAATGTCTTGTGACTAAACAAAGGGCGCTAATGTGAGTGTTCACACCGACGCGTAAAAGCGTCATTTTTTATAAAAACGCCTCGGGTTATTATTATTTTTTTTTAAACACGCTTTTGAAAAAACGTTAGATTGGTGTTTTTGCTCACGTGATTGGAGCTTCTGAAGTTACAGTAAAACACAACTTGGGGGCGCTCAAACACGAAACGGTCTTGCACACATATGCAACGGCGAAGAAGATATATGCAATATATGGAAGAAATAAGACGAGGAAGATGCAAGGCAAGATGAATGTAGAGATGCTGTTCTCGTTGGTGGAACATAAAGAACTATATGACAAACGCGACAGCGACTACAAACATCTTGATAAAAGAAAACTGATATGGAGTGGTATTGCAGAGCAAATGGGCGCCATCTAATGTCAGGGAATGAATTTGCATGTTCACTCGGCTCATCGGCAGCGAAAATCGCTTGGGTGTGAACACAAAAAACGCGCTGAAAAACGCTGGCGAATAACGCGCGCTGATATTCGTCCCGGTGTGTACGGGTCTTAAGACCCTGCGTATAAACCTGCAGATTCAAGTTATCATTGTTGATGTCAATTTGTACCTACATTTTATTTGGTTTTGTATATTGTATTTTCTATTCTAGGGTTTGTGTTGAATTCAATTTGATTTGATTTGGTCTGTAAGATTTTTGTGGATTGATTTTTAAGATCAATGAAGTAGAAAGAGGAATATTAAATATATTTTAACTTATTTAAAAAAATGTCATTTATTCCTGTGATGGCAAAGCTGCATTTTCAGCATCATTATTGTGTTTTCAGTGTCACATGATCCTTAGTAATTTTTGAAAATTTTTGAATTTTTTTTTTTTGAAACGAGTAAAGCAATATACAGTGAAACCATGAAAGTTACCTTTCCCCTCCTTCTAATTTTAACTATAATACTTTACTCTCAATTTTGATCAATTTAACATGTCCTTTGCTGTATAAAAGTATTAAGAAAAATGACTGACCCCAAACATTTGAACAGGGATGTACTCAGCTCGAAAAGACAGTGTGGTTAAAACAGTGAGCAGTTATGCAATATCCAACCTTTGCAAATGGATGCACATGCAAATACTGTATACAGTAACATGTTTAGAATATTTCCCTTGTTTTAATATCCGTGTTTGTTGGTAAATGCAGGCATACTGTACATGTGAGCATGCTCATTGTGCAAGGGTCTGTCATGCACATGTGAGAAAGAATGAGCGTGAGGAAGGAAGGATGAAGAAAAAAGAGTGATGTCATGAGCACAGAATGTGAAAGTCTGGCCCTGTTAGAAATGGGTTTTTTTCAGCCTCACATTTTTGTGGAAGCGTCTCCACTACTATTAATCTTCCACACACTCTCAGGGGAAGAACTCAGGAACTGCCCCTCCCTGCATTCTCTCTCTCTCTCAAGTAGAGGATCTATTTGCTCTTTATTTGTATGTTTTCTGGAGAGTTATCATGATGTATTCTCGAGACCTGGACTCTTCGGTTGTGCAGCGGCATGGGCTGGTTCCTCTGTCCAGTGAGGGATCCATCAGGGGTCATGTGGACACCTCACAGGTGCTCGGTGAAGAGCCCGGCATTGCAGGTTCACGAAGAGTTAAAGATTCAGCACAACCTGTTAGATCTAACACGTGCATTAAGGGCAGGTAAGATGGGAAATTGATGAAATCTTGGCACTTTTAGAAGAAGGCTTTCAAAGGTTGTTTTAATTACAATAGTGGTGTGTGTGCTATCGTATATTTAAAAAATAAATTAATTATAAAATGAAAAGTGTAGCTTATAAATCTGAAAATGTTGATGTTGGTGCACATAAAATACAATATATTATGCAGACCGGGGCTAGTTGTAAGTTGTAATTTCTTAATTTTTCTTGAGAAAAAAAATGTGATACATTTTTTTAAATATAATATATAAAAAATATGTATTTTTGTACTTTAACCCTTTAGGCGCCAGATGTTTTTTCCTAAAATTTCAATTTAATTTCAAAAAGCTATCTTAAAAGTGATTAAAGATAGAGACTTTCTGTAAATTAGCGAAATATTTAGGATGACCCAAAGTTTATTTAGGGATCACATTTTGCACTCAAACTCGAACATTTTATAAAGAAGCATGACGTTTTTTTGAGTCAGGGATGAAGCATGACACGTCTGGCATCTAGTGGAGGGGAGGTCGAACGAAATTGACACCCAATTTGACAAAATCAGCCATTTTATTTTGTGCCGCATCTTGTCGAGTAAACTCGACCGTGGCGCGTAGAGGGTTAATAGCTGCAAGTGATCATGTTTTAGAATATGTGGCAATTTTATACTTTTTTGAAATAACAAATACTGTTGACTAACTGAAAAGGTTACCTTTCACATTTATAATATTTACGCAGCTTGTTATGTTTCATAATTGTTGTAGTTTAAATGTCACTTTGAAAGCCTTTAATTGACTGTTTAATGACAGGTTCTCGTTGTGACAATTTACCCCATATTGTGTGACAAAATATTCTTCATAATATATATATTTTTTTGTGCATGTTTTTAGTGAGATGTTTATGAGGCATTTCCATAAAAATATTTAGTCAAAGGTGACTGCCGAATACATTGTTTTTGGATGGATGTGTTGTCTTGTATTGAACATTGAATGGACTCGCTTAAATAAGATGTTTCTGATTATTAGCCTGATGTGATCAATAATGCAGTGTGATTCAGCTGGCAGGAATGTTTATCCTGTGATTTGAGCTTAGCAATGTGCTTTTAGGTGACACATTAGTGCAGGCCTTTAGTTCGAATCACAGCGTGTCTGTATCAAGACAGTGTTCAGTAGCGCTGCCTTGTGCTGGGCAGATCAGGAGCCGGGTCATATGGCAGCCGTGTGGGGCGTGTGAAGATGTGGATGATGGGGCCCATTGGGGAACTTGAATGTTTGTCTATATGTCCATTAGCTTGTACTTTTAAGTGTGCGACCCCCCTAGGTCACGGTTTTCCATTTCTTCAACCCCATATCTCTGCACTCGCGTTCACAGAAAATTAGCTTGCATCTGGAGGAGCATTTCCGATTTCTAGATCCTGCCAAGTTTCTTTTTTTTTTCTTCTTGTCTTTTCTTAGCACTGTCTCATCTCTCTCTTTGTTGTTTCACCACATCCATAAAGAGATGAAAAACACATTGGAACACAACGTACATGTTTGAAGCTTTTCAGATTAAACTGATGGCTCATTATTTGATCTGATTAGAGTGGCATGCTCTTTAATGGACTATTTAATAAATTGTCATTTGTTCCAGTAAGCATTATGGTCTTTTTATGTTAATTTAATTAAAATAAAATAATCAGGTTAAACGCTCTTCAATTAAAGCAGCCACTGATGTTTGTTCTCAATTTAAAGAAACGGCTCGTTTATTCTTGCACATCATGATGAGCAACATAATTTGACTACATGGATCTCTTCTATAGACAAAACATGAGGATCAAACTCGTTTTTGAGGGAAAATGTTCTTATCATGAAAATAATGCAAAAAAAAAAGTTCATTTTCTTAATGCAAAATATAACTTAAAAAAAAAATCTTTTTGAACCAGGGCTGAAAAATAACCTGGACATTTCTTTATGACACTTACTCACTCAGGTCAATATTTACTACCTTCATCTCTGACCTGTGTTTTTCATTTCTACCATAGGAGTTTGAGAATGCAGAGGGAGAGGAGTACCCAGCGGACATGTCCACGCCGGCATCGCCTGCATCTCACACCGGTCCCGATGTCTACATCCTGCCTCTCACCGAGGTCTCGCTGCCAGTCGCCAAGCAACCTGGCCGATCAGGTGGGTCTTTGTCACATCGCCTAGTTTGATTATTAAAAAGAAGCTTTCGATACGAGTAAGACCAGATGTGATATCATTTAAGAAAACCCAAAGCAAATTGGGCTCGTTGAGGATTTCCTCCCAGTCCTGAATCCGCTTTGACCCCGCTTATGCAAATCCCATATGGGTTTCACATTCTCTGGACTGGACTGAGTTTTATTTTTTTCCAGAGAATATTGAATATATTTCACTTCCAACCCACAAGTTCTCAAGTGTAAAATCCAGAAGTGACCAACGCCCTGCTGCTGCCTTCACTCTTCCCTTCTGGGATGAACACTGTCCCACAACCCTGCCTTGCTCTGGGCCCTCAGAAGCCAAGCCAGCTGTTCCGTGCTGATGGCCATGGCTGTGCAAAATTAAAAATTTAACTATTAACCTTACAATTTATGAGCGTGAATTTAAATTGTATTGTCCTCACCCAACATGAAGCTGAATTGGAATTTGAATGGGAATGATGCAATGAAGAATTTACCAATTTAAGTAAATTTAATAAGAATGATGAAATATGCAAAGTATTTCTATTCACTCTATGCTTCTATGAAAAACCCTATGACATCCATGGAACTTTTCAAATCCAAAAAATGTTATTTATATTGGAAAAAGGTTCTTTAAATAAAAAAAAACTTTCCACTAAATGGTTCTTTGGAGAATCATACATGGTTCTTCATATGGCATTGCTGCGATAACCCCTTTTTTGACCCCCTTTTTTATTTCTAAGAGTGTATGTCGCATTTCAAATATATATACTGTACAATACTGTTCAAAACACTGTTTAGACACTGAATTGGAATTGAAAGGGATAGTTCACACAAAAATGAAAATTCTGTCAGTATTTATATTGTTCCAACATTTTTGATGAAATCTGAGAGCTGAATCACTCCTCCATACTATTCCATAGGCTTCTTGAGGGATTGAAACTTGCCGGCTTCGAAAAGGTATTAAAGACATTGTTAAAATAGTCCAAGTGACTACAGTGGCTCAATTTTAAGTGTATCAAACGACGAGAACACTTTTTGTGCGCAAAAAACAAACAAAATAACGATATTATTTCAACTATTCGTGTCCTTCTCTCTGGGCCTCGATTCAGTTTACTAGTTTAACAGTGTATGATCTATTGTTGCACGTCACACGCATCCCTCACATGACCAGCGTCGGCCAATAGTGAGCCTACGTGTGACGTAGCTCTACGCAATTACACTAGTTTAACTAGAGGCGCAAAGACAAGAAAGTGAATAGTTGGAATAAACTCGTTATTTATGTTTGTTTTTGCGCACAAAAAGTATTCTCCTCGTTTGATACTGTAGAGTTAAGATTGAGCCACTGAAGTCACTTGGACTATTTTAATGATGTCTTTAATAACTTTTCGAGGCCGGCAAGTTTCAATCCCTCAAAAAGCCTATGGACTAGTATGGAGGAGTGATCCAGCTCTCGGATTTCATCAAAATATCTTAATTTGTCTTCCAAAGATGAACAAAGGTCTTACGGGGTTGGAACAACATGAGGATTAGTAAATACTGACAGAATTTTCATTTTTGGGTGAACTATCCCTTTAAAAGTCAGTTTCGAATCCAATAGTGCACAATCTGAGCTTTGGTTCTTTCTTTTGTCTGTATCTCTGGACCGGAATCTATGGATTGCCCCGAGACCACATGGCTGGCGGGAACAAATACATTGAAGAGAGACAGACTGGAGTCAGTATTCGCAGAGTTCTTTGATTTGTGTGCACTTCACTGGAGCAAATTCTCAAAATTAATTGCATTTCTGTCTTGTTTTTCAGTAAAAACATCCTTGAAGATTAACACTTGTTTACATAGAATATTGTGTTAATTAAGTTTATTTGTCTTACCCCCTTGCAAATTGTTTTAAAATCCAAACAATTATTCACTCGAGCATTTTTTCGTCGTTCTCTCTCTTATTCAGTCTTGACCAGCACAAACATCTGCCTGTTGCATAATGTCGCCTCAGCCAGCCTACATAAATGTGCCTTGGAATCTGAGGAATCTGTGTACATTCCGATCCATACATCTCCCTCTTTCCCATAACAACAACTCAATTTATTATAGCCTGACAGTGATGCTAACAGCTATGTGGTGCGATTAGTAAAGGTCAGAGGTTAAGAGGTTGTGGTCATCCATATATCACAGAACTCTCACTCAACCCTCTGATATGGCATTTAATTTATGCGCTAAGTGAATAATAGATGCAGTATTTTGCCACCTGACCGATAAAATGCTAATTTATCAAAGTAAAAATCCCACTAAGGTTTCTGTTATGGTATAGTTCACAGAATGTAATAAACAGCCTGGTTTCAGACATGGCTGAGGTGATGTCACTCCGTACGGATGAGGTTGAGGTCAGGAAGTCTCAGTCACTGTGACACAGGTAGCATCTGTCTGTAATCAGACGTGTCTTTCTTCACAAGAGAAGTTAGAAATGAAGACGCTAATTGTATGCGTTTATCTTCTGATTTGAGAGGTTTCAGCCAAACAGATCATGTATTGCACTCTGGTGTGCAGTATCCACCCCAACACAGCTTTGCTCTTAAACACTCCCTCACATACACACACACCTACCTCTGAGCAAGGGAATACTTTAAAAATCACATCATATCATATTTAACATGTGCACACACCCGGTTTATCATTTGCATTGTTGGGAAGAATAGACTAGAGGGACAAATAAAGCAAGACGAGCGTAGCAGCAGTAAGCACATTTGATAATTTGTTGAGAGTGAAATGATTTCTCACCATTATTTTCCCAACGACTGCATTCCCAGCAGTCATCTGACCAGTGTGTCACTGTTTTCACTGTCCAAAAAACGTGCTGATGACTTCCTTGGTCTATGAAGTCCCTCCTTCAGAAATACGTAACGAGTTCTGATTGTGCCAGTGGTTCCTGTGTTGTGATTGGACAGCAGCTTATCGCACGTTACGAAAGGTCTTACCTTTCTCTTACCATAAATTGGAGATGCATGCGCATCTGAAGTGCTTCTTCTCCATGGGAACGCAACAAGACCACACCCCCTTTTTTGTGTATTCCTCTGGCGGATATTAGTCAAAAAACTGTTCTAGTTACGTCATTAAAAAAGGAAGTAGTGGATGTAGTCCAAACAGGCTGTTCGCTGTATGCTTTGAAAGGGGACTTCTGTTAAATAAAATATCTCGCTAGGCATTGAACTTTCAGCTTTATAATTTTACAGGTATTATTTATGTTCTAACAGCAACATTACACACTAACTAAAGTTTGAAACATGGAGTCACGAACAACGGGACCTTTAAGAATAGCAATAGAGTACCGAAGTTGTGACGTCACTTTGTTAGCCAAAACGCGGAAGTGAGTTTGCATTTTAGCACTTCTGCTTCCCTCGCTCTAAAGTCTATGGGTTTTTTTCAATGGGCTTTTGCTAAATCGGTAACACTTTACAATAAGGTTCATTAGTTAATATTAGTAAATGCATTGACTAACATGAACTAATGATGAGCAATGCATTAGTTACAGTGTTTATTAATCTTTGTTAATGTTAGTTAATACAAATACAGCCGTTCAGTGTGCGTTCATGTTAGTTCACAGTCCATTAACTAATGTTAACTAATACAACCTTTGATTTTAATAACGTATTAGTAAATGTTGGAATTAATATTAACTAATATTAATAAAGGCTGAAGAAGTATTGTTCACATTTTGTACATGTTAACTAATGTTAACTAATGAACCTAATTGTAAAGTGTTACCCGCCTGAAATAAGGTCTGTGGTGATCAAAGCCTCTAAATATTTTCACGTTTTGATCTTTGATATAAAACACACCACCTGGTTGTGGTTTTTTAAACTTTATTGTGTCTGCTTGTGATTTTTAAACTTTATTTAGGCTTCAAAATGTATACATTTTGGATTAACTTGTAAATATTATCTTGATAGACAAAATGTGTAAGGGTCACAACTCTTTGTTGAACACAGATTTTCCAAAAGTCTATGGGGAAAATGCATAGCTTTTCAATCAAGGGAACCCATGTACCACTATTTTTTTCATCTATTTATTTCAGCTGTATTTCAAAGACCAAAAAGTATTGATTGTTTTCTTTCTTTCTTGTTGGCTTTGTGCTGCTAATGATGGATATACAGTACACAATGATTTGATTGATAAATTAATTTCACATAATTGCAATCCATGCAATTTGTAACTACATCTTCAGTCTCTTCAAAATTGCTGTATGGCTGTTTGCAACAGTCATTGTAATATAATATTTAGTATCCCGTTCCCACATCACACATTCTGATCTGTTTACCGGCCATTTGCTTTCCCAGACTTAGACTAGAAACCTCAGGAATAATAGCATTAGTGTTTCCATCCTCTCAGTGGTACCATGCAGCACCGCCGGCATGACAAAGAGCCGAATTCTCCCCAGCGAGGTCTCTCTGAGGGGGCAGGCAGAATGAACAGCCTCTACAACACCACATGGGCGTAAAAAAATGGCTGCTGCATAAAAAGAGAACAAGGAGTGAGACAGTATGTCATGCACCCTTACAATAAACTGTCTGTGTGTGAGCATGATGAGAGGAGAGATAGAGAGAAAGGGACTGTTATGGCATTTTGAGATGATAGAGAAATACAAGGATCTGTCAGATGGGAGGTTGAACGATACAGAAATTCACTGGTCAAATCTACTACGGCTGTCTACATCCATTCCCTGACTTCTCTGATTTCTGCATTTCAGAAAAATGCTCTTCAAGCAGTTTGATAGATCACGGCGAGAACTCTTAAGACAGACTCTCGAATTTGATTTTGTGCCGTTTGACCTCACTCTTGCTCAGAAGGTTGCTCACTGCCTTTTGGAGAGGATATTTGGAGGATGATTTTTGATCTTCACGTAATGCACTTGCAGCGTTCAGTTGTGCACTAAGGGTTTGTTATGTTGGAACAGTTCAAATATTGTTTAAATAATTATGTTAATTTCCCATTATTCATATTAATTTTTTTTTGTTATTCTTTGCATTTTACATAGGTTTAATTTTTTTTTATGCTTATTTGACGATGCAATGGATTTAATATGTATTCTATGTAATGGGGGTCCAAGTGCTGAAAATGTTTCTGTTTTTCTAATTTAATCAATTTTTTCATTTCAAATTATATTGTCATCATATGATCATCCTGATGATCACCTTCTCCAGCAATAGAATAGAAGCAAGAACATCTGATCGTCTGCACAATAGAAGTATATTTTATTCGTGTTACGTCATTTTTTTCTTGATTTCATTCGTTTTTGAATGCCAGATTTTGCCTCTGGTCCATGTTGCCAATTAATATCTTGCTCTGTCTCTGTCTGATAATCATCCTTTAGTCCAGCTCCTGAGATCCACAGATCTTGGCCGCCATAGTTTGCTTTATATAAAGGAGATTGGACATGGCTGGTTTGGCAAGGTAAGTCTAGTTGGTCTATTGTTTATTTGATATTTGTTTTGAATGTCCACCTCGTAGACATGGATGCCCTTGTGTACTTCTACGGATCAACGGTTTAGCTCTGTAGTTTAGACCCAAGGATGTAGAAAATATCTTCCATGCTGCGTTAGCTTTGCCTCAGTAATACTCAAGCTTGTGGGACTTGTGTCTTGACTGTTCCCTGCGAGAATTTCTGTGTTGCAGTAAATTCCAGAAGCATTTTAATATTTCATAGGAATAAATTGTGCCTCTTTCATTCTCATTCTTTTTTCTTTCTCTCTACTTCTTTGTCTTTGTAACACACATATATAAACACACACTTCCCCAATTACCCCAACTTTCCATTGAATGGGTATGTCCATCTGTATGTCTGTGTCCCTCTGGCTGCATGTTTACCAATGTTTCATCTTGTTTTGTGATACGTCTCTCTGCATTTCCCTTTGAGCAACTTTTCGCATGACTCCTGGACTTGATTTCAATCTTTTTGGGTTTGTTTGTCTGTCTTCGACTTCCTTCCTTCCTTCTTTCCTTTCTTCCTTCCTTCCTATGTGCCCATTTTCTTCTTGTGCACATCTGTTTGTGTCTATCTGTGTCACCCTGTCCATAATTGTGTGTGTGTTGTTCATTTTCCCTCTGTTCATACCTGTATGTGTGTTTCTGTTGTCTTTCCCTTGTGTGTTTGTGTATATGTGTGTCTGTGGGGTGTCGTTCTCAGGTATTGTTGGGGGAGGTTCACTCTGGTCTCAGCAGTACCCAGGCGGTGGTGAAGGAACTAAAGGCCAGTGCCAGTGTCCAGGACCAGATGCATTTCCTGGAAGAGGCTCGGCCATACCGGTGAACAAATCGTGCATTGCTTGCATTTCATTTATATCTTTTATTTCATTTATTTTGTAAGAATGAATAAGGAGATGGTCAAATCCCTCCTGATTGTCCTTCTAAAAATATTCGGTATCATTTTTTTTATTATGTAGTGGAATCCAAAAGAACAATTTAGAAAAATGTCTTTGTTTGTTTGCTTTTTATTTCTCCATACAGTAGAGATAGATAGATAGAGTCAGTGAGATCAGTGTTGTGTTGGGATCCTAAGTGGCTTTGGGTAAAATGTCTAGTTAAAAAAATATCATTTGTAACGAACAAACATTAAATGGATAGTTTACTCAAAAAATAATATTCTGTCATTTACTCACCGTCATGCTGTTCAAATTTTGTATGACTTTATTCTGTTGAACACAAAAGAAGATATTTTGAAGAGGTTTGTCCCATAAAATGACATTCAAAGGGTTTGAAAACTACTCTGACCCCCCAGGCTTTCACTAGAGAGAGAAAAAACAGTGAACTGGGGTGAATAAAAATGATGACAGAAAATTCCTTTTTGAGTGATCTCTTCAAAACCAAAATGGAGACTGACTGTAGTGTATTGCAATGATTGGGGTACACTCTTTCTCCAGGTCTCTCCAGCATCCGGCTTTAGTTCAATGCCTCGCTCAGTGCACAGAGGTCACACCCTACTTAGTGGTCATGGAGTTCTGCCCACTGGTTAGTCTAATAGCTCTGTTTTTCTGTTTTTATTTTATTTTATAATTTTTGTGTTTTTTCCTCTCTAAAACCTCTAACCTAAAGTGTTAAATTTTGTCTTATCTCATAAACACAATTCAAACCTAAAATCAAGTCAATTTGAGGAGAAGAAGTATATATTTTTAGAGCTGTCAAATGATTAATCACGATAAATCACGATAAATGTTTACATAATATATGTGGGTGCACTGTGTATAATTATTGTATATATATAAATACACACACATGCATGTATATTTAAGAAAAAAATATTATTTATATATAAAATATTTATATTTATATATAATATAAATTATATATAAATCTATATACAGTATATACATGAAAATATTTCTTAAATATATACAAGTATGTGTGTGTATTTATATATATATATAAAATAATTATACACAGTGCACCCACATATATTATGTAAACACAAAACTTTTATTTTGGATGCAATTAATCGCGATTAATCGTTTGACAGCCCTAATATTTTTGTAAGCAGTGTTGAGGGGACGCATTACAAGTAGGCTAACGTGAATTACATAATCAGATTACTTTTTTCAAGTAAAAAGTAAAGTAAAGCATTATTCTTTCAAAGTAACACAAGTTACTTGCAATTTCGTGGACGGGATTTTATACATTGCCAAACAATTGTTTGTTATTAAAAAACACACAAGAAAGTCCAGCACAGGTGAGAAAAAGTAAGTAATGAAACAAATTTCTTTCCATAAAAAGTAACTAAGTAACAGAATTAAAAGTAACTTTCCTTAACACTGTAAGTAACCCGATGATTTTTGCCTGGTGGATGATAAAACAGGCGATAAAAATCCTGTAGTCCATATCTAGAGATCAGATATCATAGTCTTTTATAGAAATGGGCTAGTAAGCAACCACATAGCAGCCACCTAAAACTTGCTAGCACTACCTCTCAACCACTTAGCAGTGTAAAACCCCTCATAGCAACCATATAGCAATGCTATGGTAAACATGCATAACACCCTAATGTTGTGCCTGCTTGTTTTGTATGTAATTGTGATTTATTTTATTTAGCAACAGCCACACATGATAGTGTGCTTCTTTATTTTATATCATTCTTTTCCTGTAATTTCCCACATGTGCTACATCATTTAAGTCAACAGATCAACCCTTATCAACAACACCAAATGCTGCTGACCTAATATCTTATTATATAACTCCCCCCAGTGGATTGCTGAGGCAAAATCAGTCTGACAGCACACTCATTTGATGATTATGCATACTGATTTGAGTTTACACCTTATCTTTGTATTTTAGCATTTGTTTTCCCATGATAACAGGGTGATGTTAAAGGTTACCTGCGCAGCTGCCGGGCAGCAGATTCCTTGACCCCTGACCCCTTACTGCTTCAGAGAATGGCGTGTGAGATCACTTCAGGCCTGCTTCACCTTCACAAAAACAACTTCACCCATAGGTCAGCCAACATTTTCTTACATATTATAATGTATAAATTTCTGTTTTACTGTGCAAATTCTTGTTTTGAAAACATTCGAATCCTTTAATTTTAGGAAGTACTGTATAATATCATCACAACCTTTATTACCACTCTCAAATAGACTATTGGAAGACTACCGTCAAGTATGAGTATGAAGTTAATGAGTGTGAATATCTGCTTTCCCTGCTGGTTTCTCCCTGCAACAATCTCCTGGTGCTGCCTGAGTGTTTTTACTCCACTCCAGCATCAGTGATTTTGTTGCCGGGGGTCACCACACTTCTTCATGCAACTTCAATATGTCCTTGCCAAGATACTTTAAACAGGTTCCTGAAGACAAGAGAATTATTTTTGGAAAGTAACATCACAATGCAAGTAAAATGATGGCTATTTCTGGCACTGCATCTGTCCTACTTTGTAACTACTGTACTACTGTGTTCATTTTATGCGTGGTTCCAATTAAATAAATAACATCCAGATATCTTTTGAGCTAGCTAGAGATATGGAAACATTTAGGCTATGTTCTATTTTCAGAAGGTGCTTATCATATGTTTATTTATTTATGTTGTTCTGATTTTCTACAGTGATCTGGCTTTAAGAAATTGCCTGCTAACATCAGACATAAATGTCAAGATTGGAGACTATGGACTATCGCAAAACAAGTACAAGGTATGTACATTTAAATCTATACATTTTGACCAGTAATCAGTATAATCAGTGATCAGTAACCCGACAGTTTCTGGTTTCATTGACTTCCATAGTAGGAAAAAAATACTGTATACTATGGAAGTGAATGAGGCCAAAAACTGTCTGGTTACTGATATTCCTCTAAATATCATAAAATCGTCTGCATGGATTCGAAAACGATAAAACCCAACTGTTTAACTCTGGGGGAGTTTTAAAATTAGCCTATTTCCCCCAAAAAAAAGTGGAGAATCCCTTTAATTTTGCTTGAGATGTTTTTGATATGACTTTTAAAGTTTAACTGAGAATCTAAAATCACTCGTAAATATTTTTCTTGTTTTACCTGATCAATTAGTTCACCAATTATTTTAATGTTAAGCTCATTTATTGTCTGAGTTAGACTTAGTTTTCCTCAGATTAAGTGTTAAACAGGATTTGTTTAGCCAATTAAACACTTTCTCAAAACTTTTGGTCAATGTACTGCCAATCACAGCAGGGCTTTTGCCAAACACATAAACCACAGTGTCATCGCCATACATCTGAAGACCAAATTCAGGACACACTTTAGGCAGCTTGTTCACATACAGGCTGAAGAGAATAGGCCCCAGTATGGTTCCCTGAGGGATTCCGGTACTCATAAACATGAGTTTTAGATTACATTCATTTACTTTCCAAAGTTAGTTTTGAGCCTTTTCTCTCTTCATATCTGTTCATCTCCAGGACGACTACTTTGTGACATCAGACCAGACCTGGATTCCTTTACGTTGGATTGCCCCTGAACTGGTGGATGAGGTTCATGGTAACTTGCTAGTGGTGGACCAAACCAAGGAAAGCAACATCTGGTCTGTACCTTTACTCAATGCTACAACAAATAGCTAATTTTTGCATCCATGTGCTGGAAGTATAACATAAATATAATGTTGAATTTAGGCCCCCAGTCAGGCTGTTTAGGAAGAACGCACCTCTTAAATAACCTATATTATCGTAGTGTCTATATGGCTAGATAGATAACATGTCATTATTAATTGATGCTTGAATACAGAATAATGTTGTACTTTCTCTCTGTACATAGGTCACTTGGTGTAACCATCTGGGAGCTGTTTGAGTTGGGGAATCAGCCGTACCGCCATTATTCAGACCGACAGGTTCTCAGCTATGCTGTGAAGGACCAACAATTGAAGCTGCCCAAGCCACTTCTTAAGTACCCTCTTGCTGACCGCTGGTGGGTGTCTAATAGATTTTATGTTGCTCTTCTTACTCATTTAATTAACCATTACCCAGAGTTAGAGCCCTGCATTTTCACTTTGTTAGAGGCTTTAAATTTTCACCCTTGTCTTTTGGAGTCCTTGCTCTTAAAACTATTCTTATAACACATTCATGATCAAATTTCTTTCATAGATGTAATCAAGTGTACACTACAAAACATTGAAACACAATGTACTCTATATTTTAATACTTAATAATATAATTTTCCAGTTACAATCTCTACAAATTCATTTATTAGAGGACCAATATTAAAGTTAAATATTAAGACTTGTTTTTATAGATTGTATCCTGAATAAAATAATTATAATAATTATAATAATATGTAAAATACACAGTGTTGTAGTACTCGAGACTCGGACTCGTCTCGGACTCGGTCTCGAGACCATATTTTAATGGTCTTGGTCTTGTCATGGACTCGTGTGCATTTGGACTCGGAATTGACTCGTACTCGAACATTTTTTTTTTAGGACTCGGACATGATTATTAATGTATGTTAATAAAATATTTCTTTAAATTGATTGACACGCCCAGTGATTGGTGATTTTCTAGTGCGCAACTGCGCATGACAAATTGTAATAAAATTGCTTTTAACACCACCTACTATGTGGCCTTTTTACCCTAAACTGATCATATTTTTTAAACTCTTAAGTAAATTCAGTAAAAAAAAAAAAAAATTGATTTCTCTAAGTAAATAAAAGTAAATTAGGTAATCAACCCTCACTGGTCTCGGTCTCGACTTGGACTCGACCGTCTCTGGTCTCGGACTCGACTCGGACTCGACTCTCTATGGACTCGGTCTTGACTCGGACTCGACTCTCTCTGGTCTCTGTCTAGACTCGGACTCGAGTGAGGTGGTCTCGACTACAACACTGAAAATACATTTAGTCTTAGTGAATGGTCAGATTTTTGTAATAAAAAAACCTACTGTAAAAAGAACTGAAAAAATAATGCTGTAACGTCTAAGTTATGTGGTTGTGTTCCCCTGTGATTCTCCTATGTATCCTTTGGATTTTGGATTAAAGACTATTCTGATGGTATCTTCTCCTTCGTGCACTTTTATGTAGCAGCCAAATGTAAACAAATTAAAAACAGGTGGAAAAAAAATCTCCCAGCTGTACTAAAAAATGCAATTATATTTAATATGCAAGCTATTTACAAATTGAATATCTTTTGCAGTGTTGCTTCTCAAGTAAATGAATCTTGTTTTAAGATTTTTTTTAGATTTATTTTCACTGAAAATGGATCAAAAGACATAAAAGCTCATTAAGAAGTTATTTTTGCAGTGTATTTTTCAAAGTGTTTGCCTTAAATGTATTTGTGTTTCTGTTTTACCAGGTATGAAGTAATGCAGTTCTGTTGGCTTCAGCCTGACCAGAGGCCCAATGCAGAAGAAGTTCATCTGCTGCTTAGTTATCTATGTGCCAAAGGAGCCAGTGAGGCAGAGGAAGACTTTGAGAGACGCTGGAACTCCATGAGACCAAACACAAGTCATGTCAATCTCCATGGAGCTGGTGCACTTGCAATCAACATGCCCCTCTCATCCACCACTTCATCATTCCCCCTACTGGAGCAGTTCCCCACTGGAGACGGCTACAATTCAGAATCTGGAGATGACATCCTAACAGTAACTGAAACCAGCCATGGCCTCAACTTTGAGTACAAGTGGGAGCAGGCACAGGCTGAACAGCACTACCATTCCTCATCCACCACAGGCACTTTGGGTCAAAGCAATCCACATTGTCAGGAGGTATACTACCCTCCAGGTGGAATAGTGGGAGGCTGTTCTTTTGAAGAACTCGCCTTAGGGGTTTCTCCTTCATATTATGAGCCCAAACAACTTCATAACCCTGTTGTGGTACCAGTCCTGAGTGCCCATAGTCCATCAGTGAGTAATGAATACTATATCCGCATTGAGGAACCAATACAAAGCAATATTGATATGAACTTCACCATGTGTGCTTACAGTCCAGAGTTCGGGGGCAGCAGTGGAAGCTTTCTAACAGGTAGTGGAGACTCTGGGGAGTGTTTAATCTGTCCCCCTGAAGCTAAACCAGACATTTATTGGTCAGCAGATGTCCATAAAAGCAGTGCCTATGATTCTGATACCAGTCCTGCCATGTCTTTAACTATGGAGCCTCTTTTGGGACATGGTAGCCCCCTTAGGGCATGGGAGTCTGGTCACTATGTCTCATACAAAGACAGGGATGGAGGTTACTACTATGAACCATCACCTCCTAAGGTCATGGAGCACTATCTGATACGAGATCCAGCACAGCCTCCACACGAGAGCTGGGGGTCTCGAAGCCTGAGGCAGGCACTTGGGGAACTGGAGGACCCTTTAGGCAACTCACCATCACTTGGAAGTCCTCCACAAGGCTATGCTGATCCTTACTTGGAGAACATCCAAGGCTCCATTATAGGAAAGAATGTTACAGGAGGATACTATGATATGATGGGCTCCTTGAGGAAAACTATGCCAGGTAGCCACTCAGTTTGTATTGATATGGCGTCAGGTGGTGCTATATTTGTAGGACGAGATGACAGCGACTCTGATGAAGAGGAAGACATTTTTGTGGAGAGACGAGGAAGAAGCTGGTCCACCGGCAATCCAGCAAATACAAACACAATGACTTCGCATCAGAGGAAGGGGTCTGGTCACCAGGATTCGTATGCAGACTTCCACTACACTATGCCAATGACAGACATTGAGGATACGTGGCCAGAAGAGCAGAACCTGCCGTACCATATGGCTAAACCTGTTGACTACTTAGAGACAACGGTAAAAAGCAACACTTGCTTGGTGCATGGAAGACACATAACTTCAAACCCTTCACCCGAGTGCAACTCGTATATCCATATGTGCCATGAACCCAGAGAGGCTGAAGTGTATCCTGTACCATGTTGTCAAGCTTTGAGCAGTTCACATTTTGTAGACCCTCTAACGGGAACACTTGTGAGGAACTGCTTCATGATCGACTGTATTCCAGGGAAAGCCATGACATTGCCCCCAAAAAACCAACATCTAGGCCAAGCACCTTTATCTGCTGGACATATGGTCTCCAAAATAGAGTCATCAAGGGAAGGAGCCAAAGAGTTTGACGTTTCGGAGCAATATGTGCATATTGCGGCAGGGGAAACCAACTTAAAACAAGAAAAAGCTTTGCATCAAGATGCTTCTCCAGCAGATCCTAAAACTGAAATTACCTCCATCCCTTCACAGTTGAACAAATCATCCCTATCAGAGTTACCCAAATCAGAGCCAGAGTCAGAGTTGAGTAAGACAGCGGACAGCGGTGTGGGCCGTGGATGCTCTAGTATCAGCCTGGTAGAGATTGATGACTGCAGCGATGATGACATCACTGATGTAACCTCAGAGATTTTTTGTGAATTCACAGTAGAAGCAGAAAATGCTGACTACGCTAATCCGACATTCAAGTCATTACAAAAGCAGGTTGGTACGCCTGATTCCATGGACTCCATTGACATACCATCTACGGCATGTTCTAGTGAGACACTCAGCCCTGCCTCCATCCACCCATCAAGCTCTCCCAAGACAGTGGACAGTGGTTATGACACCGAAAACAATGAATCTCCAGAGTTTGTCCTAAAGGAACCCCATGAGCTACAAGATTCCAAGGCTTGTATCCAACCATTGGGAAAGGTAACATCTGCGACTATCTTTGTCAGCGAAGAAGAAGAGATTGAAAGGGCAGAGGATGAGAAGCTAGAGGACAATCTTGATACTGTAATGGCCTTTACAACATCTGAGAGCAATGATGGAGAGCTAAAAGCACTGAGTGATAAAACTCCATACAGAGATTCGGCCTATTTCTCTGACTATGATGGTGGGAAAGATAAAGAAAGCGAAGAGGACATCAATGAACTTGATGATCAGAAAGATGGACTGGAGGAAATTATAGATAAAGAGGAGCTACTTCCTCCACAGAAGGAGACAGAGGGAGAGGAATATTGTATGCCATCTACAAGGGGCCATGAAAATACTCCAGAAAAGGCTGATGATTCCACCTCAAACAATCCATCTAAGACAGATGAAGGTGTGTCTGCTTGCGACACAATCTGTAGTGTGTCTCTCTCACCCCCTGATAATGAAGTGTCTGCCATAAAAGATCATTTTGATGATGATGATGATGAAAATCTTGGTATAGATTCAGATCTTTCTACAGAACCAAAATCGGAAGTATCTGATTCAAATACTTTTCTTGGTCCTGATGTAAAGCAAGAGGACTCCTTCACACAAGTTGGCATTGAAGATAGTCTGACTCTTGACCAAGTAACTTCTGAGGGCAATGCTGTAAACACCAAAATTGAGTCCATTTCAGAGGTCCTCATCGATGAGAATGAAGCGGCCATATTCAAAGATGTGGGCTGTACTATTTTTTCTGAAGAGGAATTAGCGTCTCAGAAGGAAACAGCAGAAAGGCACAGTTTCTCTACACATGAGGGGCTGGAATCCAGGAGGAAGGACTGTGAAGAAGGAGGACGTAAAAGAAGCTCCATACGTTCTGGCTCTCCTCCTCCTCCATTAGAAGGACGGGTATCTCCCACAGATGGAGAGGAGGCAGATGAGGAAGATGGGGACTCTGAAGACAGCGATGAATCCGATGAGGAGCTGCGCACATACAGCATCCACGAGCAGAGCGAAGAAAGCGAGGATGAGATCTTGACCGTTCCTATTATTGTGAGCGATTACAGTGATGCACACAAACTCAGAAGCCTACTTAAGAGGCCAGTGGTGCTCAGTGATTCACTGTCTGATGAAATTGAAAGCAAAAAGAAGGTGGTGTCATTCTTCGATGATGTCACTGTCTTTCTATTTGACCAGGTATGTGTTGTCCAGATATTTCAAGTTTTCGATGACATATTGAATCAGATTTGAGTACTTTTGAAGTTTAATCATAAAATTGTGTGTCAATGCCTTCAGGAAAGTCCAACCAGAGAGTTGGTAGATCACAAATTTCCCTTGGGTGGAGAGACAAGCAAATCGAGCGCAAAGTGTAAAGTGCAAAACCAACAGGAAAAAGTCAATGCCTCCGATGACTCTTCTGATGGAAACATATCAGAAGAGAGTAAGCTTTTTCTTTTTTTCACTGCACAAAACATTTAACCATCTATCACACTATCTATTTACCATCCTTCTTTGTCCTTGATCTTAGGTGCAGGGTTTGAATGGGAAGATGATTTCCCATTGTTGCCCCTTCCCACATCTTCCGAGGGGTCTCCTCCGGACATCACTGCAAAGCCGAGCCCACCGACCGGCATCACTAAACCTGTTGCACAAGTCTCTCGTTTTACCATTTCTCCATCCAATGTGTCACGTTTCTCCATTACACATGTCTCTGATTCAGATATTGATTCTGCATGAGGTGAGACTGCATGTTTGAAGCAGTGTTTTTATCATAAATGGAAGCTTAAACATCTGTATATATAATATACAATTAAAGGGGTCCTATTATGCTTTTTCACTTTTTCAGATTTTGTGCATCAATATTGCTTTTTGAACTTATGGTTACAAAGCTCAAAGTCCACTCCAAAGGGAGATATTCACATCAACAGAAAACTGTTTTCAAGAACTACAACAAATGGCTCGTTGAGACTACAACATACTTTTTCCGGAACTTGTGGAGTCACAATGTCACTCATTTCAATAATACCCGCCCACGGAATATGCAAAATGGGGGAAAGGCATAGTTGAACTGTGCTAGACCTCCTGCTTTAGTAACGTGTTGTTGCCATGTTGAAGAGATGCTGTTTTTTTCAGTCCAGTTCCATAAACTTTGTTTGGCATTCCTAAGGTGGATGAATTTAGAAAATAGTGGCTAAAATGTATTTTTAATACTGTTCCTGAACATTATAACACCAACGTTTATCGCTGTGCTTCACATTTTATGGAGGACATCTTCCAGAACCTAAGAGAGAACAATGGCTGCTACACATAAAAACTTCTCCTGAAAGACTGAGCAGCTCAAACTTTGCCGGGACAAGTAGTTGTTAATGGATCACAACATGTATGATTTATTTGTGGTTCCACTAGCCTGCTAGCCAACATTACAATGTTGATAAAGAGTTACTGGGCTCTTGCTTTTGTGAGACTGTTCACTAGGGGTATGATTCTCGCTTGGGGTGCGAGAGGTCCCGGCTTCATATCCCGGACGAGCCCCCATTTAATGTTACGACCCTAAACACTTTCACTGTGGAATCTACCACTCTGAAACGTCCTGTAAAATCCGTGCTTGCAAACATTTTGTGCGATCTTCTTGTTCGTAAACATACTCAGGGTCTGAATTGACCTCAAATTGCTATGGCAAAATTGATGATATTGTTAATATTGACACCTGAGCAGATGAAACTCATGGTTATAGTAAGGGGAGTGACATTTCCGGAAAATGCGCTCTAAGTGGTTTGCCAATGTCAACACACTGGGCCATCTAACCAAATCGTAAGGAGGGGCTTCATCGAGACAGGAACTAAACAGTGCATTTGAGACCGAATAGGAAGAGAAGTGCTGCAATAATGTAAAAGTCAAGACCCACCAAAAATAAAGTCAAGACTTTTTAAAGGGAGATAATAGGACCCCTTTAAACTGTATACATTCTTATTATTATTAAAATAATAAATTGGAAACTATATTAACAGGTTTAAAGTAGCCTACATAATTTTTTAAGTTTCACATATTTTGTCTTTGAACAGATTTATTCTACAGTAAAATCTTTTTTTATTTTCCAAAAGCTTTAGACTTTTATTATGCGATAATATGTGATAAGTTAATTAAATAAAGCTAATTTAAAGTTGTGTTTTTCCTCTGTTTTAAAGGTAGCAGTGAAGACGGTGAAATAGAGTGAATCATCATACTAATACCAACAGTGAGCTGCACTGACAGACCCCTCAGTGAGAAGAAGGTTTGGATCTCTTTGGAAACCGTTTTTGGATTTCCTCAAAGACAGTGCCACTTAATGTCAGCAAACACTTCAGAGCAGCCCTTTTAAAAAGGGCCCAGAAGAAAAAAACACGTGGAAATGACTAAACATATTAACAAACACAAACTAAAATTTAGCATATTATAGATGAAAGAGAATTTGGATGGATCTGCTTTGTTCAAATGGACCTACTGAAAACTGACTGTGACTGTTTACAACATCATATACTGGATTTTTGGAAAGTGTTGGAAAAGACGCTAAAGGTATCATCACTGCATCAAAAATCGAAAGAGACCATCTTAGCGAAATGTAACAAAACTAAACCATACTGATTTTTACTGTGAAATACCAATGCAGTGTTGTTTGTAAAGGAGGAGTTTAAAAAGGAGAGGGTATTTAAGTGTTTTCATGACTAAAATGAAGTTCACGACTGCCTTGTGTATGTCACCTGCCTGAGAGTAGCATTGTGTTATGGTGACATGGCATTCTGAAACCATTTTATTAATAACCACACTTTATTATCAAATCTCTTTCTTCATAATTTGCTTAGTGTTTTAGATCATGTTTGTTATTTATTTACTTATTACTCAGTTCTTCAAATCAAATTAATTCCCAGAAAGCAATTTTGCCTTCTAATAGCCATCCTAACACAGACCTGACGTCTAGGTTAAAACAAGGCAAAAGTGAAAATTGAATAGACGTCTAACAATAGCTGAAGAGAGTACAGGCATAGAACATGTCAAAGAAACCAAACACATTATAATCACTGTTGACTTTGCTTACATGATGTAATATCATACATCTCCCAAGTTATTTTAGCCAAAACAACATGTAACCAAATTCTGTTCATAGCAGAAATCATGTTCCAATGAGTTTGACTTTGAATATCTGCAGCTAAATCCATGAAATTATATATATAAAGTGAAACGATTTACCTTTTTAAAGTATTGAAGTTTTAAGAGTAGGCAAGTAGAAAATCTTCATAATACTCAAAAATAAATATTAAACAATATATAATTGACAACATATTATGTAATGGGGGATTTCAATGATCTGACATGTATTTAATGATGTATTTAGAGGGTGAAGAGGGCCTCTTAATCTAAATCATTATCATTAGCCATTTGAATCATATTATTAAAAAAAACAAAAACAAAGGTGATTACAAATGACCAGAAAGTGTTGCACTTTACCTGTATTCACCCTGTTAAAATGATGCTGTACATGCCTGCTATCTTTTGAGGATTGAAGCCGGGTTGTATTATGATCAGGGTGTTAATAATATACATAAAGAGTGTTATTTATTAGCCAACACATGTTTTATATTTCCTTGAACTTTGAAAAACAGATAAATGCTTTTTAGCATTGCAAGCTGCAACGCTTAACAGAACGTCATGCTGAACTTGATGTTGGACTTTATAAATTGACCAAAAGGAACAATTTCAACTGCTGAACAAAATGGACATGACCTTGTGACTTTTTTCACATATGGTTGGGAAACAACACGTCGGACGTGATCAAGGAGGACGAGTCTGCAGATGTGACTGAGAACAGTGTACAGTGCGGAGGGATTCGATGTTACCTGCACACTTCTGTGCGTTAAATCTCCATACGCTACTTTCGATATGTTCTGTTTGTTTGCCCGTGAAGGCGTTTATTCTATGTAACCGTCTAGCTTAGATTGAACTAGACAACAGTCTGTACTATTTTTGTATTTGATTCAACAATTTTAAACTACTGAAAGATCAAATGGGAACTTAGGAGGTAAAGGAAAAGTATGTGTTTTCTGCCAAAGAAATGTTTCACGTGATTTGGCACACGCCGGATTGGTGTCCCTGTTATTCTGATCCAGAGCGGCAGATTCACTGATTTTTTTTCCCTGGGAAATTTCCCTGTACGATGGTTTTGAATTGCAGTATAATGTTAAGCGAGAGTGGGTGTAAGTCTGTTTCTCAAATTTGTCAAACTTAGTGAGAAAAATAAAACTATTCTATTTGACGGTATTCTCTTGCAGTTTTTTATTCTCAGTCGCTTTCAGTACCTCATTACATGAGATCCAGGGGGCGGAGTTGGATTCAGATCTAAGGGGTGGAGATGGGAAGGATTAGGGGTGGGGTTAGGGATCAGGGGGTGGGGTTATGGTTCAGGGGGTGGAGGTAGCTAGAATCAGGGGGTGGGGTTAGGGACCAGGTGGTGGAGATGGGTAGGTTTATTTTTATGTAAGGTGGGAGGAGTTGGATTCCATGATGGTGGAGATTAAAAAATGTTAATTAAAACAATAATAATAATAATAGTACTGCTGTGATTCTTTTTAATAATGTAGCGATTGTTTTTTTAAATATAGTGGTTCTTTTTTTAAAATGTAACGTTTCTTTAATAAAATGTTTTTCAAAAAGAATCGCACATTTTTTTAAAGAATTGCTTCATTTATCAAAAAGAATCGCTACATTTTTTAAAAGAATTGCAACTCTTTCAAAATTGGAACATTTTCGAAAGGAATACCTACTTAAAAAAAGAATCGCTACTTTTATTCAAAATACATTTATTTAAAATTAATCAATACAATCACTACACTTTCGAAAAGAATTGCTACATTTTAGAAAAGAATTGCTTGTATTAAAAATGCATCAATACATATAATCAATAAAAATCACTACACTTTCAAAGAGAATTTATAGTTTTTTGAAGTCGCTACCTTTTTCGAAAAGAATCGTTACATTTATTCAAAATGCATCAATACATACAATCAATACAATCCCTACACTTTAAAAAAATAAACAACTTTTTTTCGCAAAGAATAGCTACTTTTAAAAAAATTGCTAGATTTTCAAAAAAATCACTCCTTTTTTCAAAAAGAATCGCTACTTTTTCTAAAAGAACAGCTGTTTTTCAAAAAGAATTGCTACATTTTCAAAAATAATTTCTACTTTTTCGAAAAGAATCGCTAAATTTTTTTTTTGAAAAAGAACCTCTTTTCATACAATTAATAAATACAATCAATACACTTTCGAAAAGAATCATTAATTTTTTTTAAAGAATCACTATATTTTTCAAACAGAATCACAACATTTTTCGAAAAGAAATTAAGAATTACTGCTTTTTCAAAAAGAATCGCTACATTTTCAAAAAGAATCACTACTTTTTCAAAAATAACCGTTAGCATACTTTTTCAAAAAGAATTGCTACTTTTCCCCTATAAAAAGAATCACCACTTTTTCTAAAATAATCGCTATTTTCAAAAATGAATCAATAATTTCCCACCAAAAAGAATCGCTACTTTTTTCAAAAAGAATCACTACATTTATTCAAAATGCATTTATACATTTATTTGAAATGCATCAATACATACAATCAATCAATGCAATCATTGTCAAAAATAACTGCTTTGACTGCTAATAACTGCTTCAAAATTCACGTTTTCACTATGGGTGTGTGTAATTTATGTTGTAGAACAAAATGTCAAAGTATCGTCAAGCTTTGACAGGATTTCATCACAGCAGAAAGTAGTGCATAATACCTTCATTAAAGTAAAAACTATAAAGCAAAATAATGCATTCAGACCAATATTTAAACTGCCAAGTTCCCTTTGCTATGCATGAAGGCCGGGTCTTTCTTTTTCAACTGTTGCAGGGCATGACGAGTTTCTCGAAAACTATAATAAATGATTGTGCCTGTCTAGCAATCCAACAACAGCTAACAATCTAGCATTTTGATTTTCATGGATTTGCTGTGTAGTCTGTCACTGCGTAACTATCGGCAGGGTACGCGGTTGCTTACGGGCCTGGACCAATCAGGGGCCGGCGTGCCTGGAAGATAATTGACAGCTGGGCCCCCCATCGCATTTTCTACTTTTAGTCTGATCGCATTTTAATTTTTCGCAAATATATTTTATGACGACAACGTCGAACTGATCATTGAATGTGTTTGAAACAAACAATAATGGATTTTGGTGCAATTTGTTTCAAATGGGACTGGGGAATCCCCGGGTGAACATGCGCATGCGCAAACGTAAAAAAAAAAGTTTGAACTTGAGATTGAGTGGTCAAATTACAAACACAAAAATCGCTTTCAAAAGCCCAAACGGAAAAAGCAATTTGACAAATGAATTATCATTTCGTTCATGCCTGAAATACCGTATCTCACAAATGAAAACAGTGCAACTGCTGATTGTCGAGAACAGCTGCATCACTGCGAGCGAGTTTCGGGGAGGTTTGCACTGCTTTCATGCTTTTTCTCACCATCCCAGTGACAGTGGCTTCTGCAGAGCGTTCTTTTTCAAAACTGAAACTGATAAAAAAGCTATCTCAAGAGCTCAATGGGACAGAGTCGTCTCTCTGGACTTGCCATATTGTTAATTGAGAATGCCCCCGCGCGCCATCTGGATCTCAATCGACAACTTCGCACAGAGGAAAGCCCTGAAAATGCAGCTATAATGCAAGTAAGCATTTTATTTTTTTTTAAAAAAATGTATTTGGACCTAGGCTTATGTGTGTGTAGTCATGATAGCAGTGAGTAACAATGTGTTATGGTGCGCCGTCACCAGCAGTGTGTTTTTTAATTGTGCGAATCGTGGACATTGCCGGTGGTGGGGGGGGGGCCCGCATTAAAAATCCTTCTTAAGGGCCCGGTGTTGGCTCGTTACGCACTGGTTTTCAGCCAGAAGATATAGGCTAAATGAGAACAGCTTTATTTGACATTATTTTTGTCTATATTATGAAAATACAACAGCCAGGCTTTGTGGAAAACAGATGTAAAGTGCCGATGCTTGGCGCCATCTAGCGAGCAAGTGAGCAGGCGTCAGCTATTTTCCACAAATGGTTGGCAACATTTATGTAACATTGAATAAGTGTGATTATTGAGAAATGGTGATGAGGGTTTTTTTAAAGATAAGATAAAGAGGAAGTTGAGGGAGTGGGACATTCTTGGAGAGCAGTCTCTATTCATTTCTATCTAGAGAAGACATAGCTTTGAGATTTATTCTCCAGGCCCTTCTTAGTAGGCCTAGAATTTTTAATATCTGAAAAAACATCATTGCAAAATGATTATGACACATGAAGTGTGCATTTTTCTTTTTCTGTGAAATACAAAAGTAAAACATTTTGCAGATTGATGTCACCAAACAGAATTGTGATGGTGATATGAATGAAATATTGTGAGAAATTGTTTATATAACAATGCAGAATCTATCATAAAATGCATGATATTAAATAAAGAGGTGCATTGCTGTCCATATTAAAAACAATAAGATTCAAGTTTTGCTTGAATCACTTTATTGAGGCTGAACCTTATTTTGAATTATTCAAAGTGCAAGAGAAAACAAATATGTTGTAGCCTATGGTGGAAAGAGGGCAGAAACTGTGCAGTATGAGACACAAATACATATATGTTATCTGGTCATTTGAGCAGATTTCTTCAATGGACCAAACGTACAATCGACTAAAAGTAGGACGATCTTACTAAATATATTTTCATTTGTCGAGTGATGGTTTCTTTATCATAAGGATCATATGATAAGCTCAACTTGTAATGCAGTAGTAGAATGAATAGATGATGGCGTTCTGTGGATCGTGTGTGTAAGGTAATGTTCTGTACAGTATCTTCATGTGGCCTGCAAACATTTGTCCTAACAATGGAGTCGAGATCCATGGTCTTCAGTTGCGATGAGTTTGGGTTTCTGCTTGCTGATGAAATTGCTTTGTCTTTGGCGAGATGTGAGCGCAAATGTGGTGAATTGGAGAGGGTCCGTCACTCTAAAAGAAAAAAACAAACCATATAGCATCATATAAAGGATTGACCCATTGTTTCTAAGGACGCTTAAAAGTGACAATAAAACATGCAAAAAAAAAAAAATTAAAAAGGATATTTGGGTGAGTGAAAATGGAAGGAAATGAAAATAATAATTTCGAGATTATGCATGCCATAAAAACAGAATTCAAGTTCTCTCATGTCGTTTGGCTGCTCAAAAGATTCATTTTAGATTAATATTAAGTAATTTCAGGAAATGATCACATCATATTTTGCTTTGAAATATGAAATTGTATTTGTAAATTGAATTCTTCAGAAAGCTGGGGCTTTATCAAATGGGGAGGAAAGAACTTGAAGCTGAAGTAAAATCAGTTTCAACATGCTGGAAACAGAAATATAGAGACCCAAAAGTTGAAAATCATTTTCGGGGTCACTTAATTATTCAGTGGTGTCATAACCATGCAATATTCTTTAATATATAAATAAATGATCATGGAGATATATTTTAGCTGTTTAGCTTACTCACTCAAAAGCGTTCAATTTCAGGAGCCACACTGGGAAAAAAATGAGAACAGGCTATAGGAATTTGATTATATGTCTTTAATGAAATTATATTAATGTTTATTTTTATTTTCTAAAAAAATAAATAAAATACAACAGGCACTTTTATTGAAAAGTGTACAAAATAGAACTTGGATCTTTCAGATGTATTATATAATGTGCTTAACATTCAGAAAATGATGAACAAACCAATCGAGAGCTCTTTTTTTTATTGTGAATTAGATAAGTTTAGTAGTCATCACATCTAATAGTTCTTAAATGCTTTTTGATCTTTAATTATTTCTCCTTTTTTTGTTTTAAGTTGCCAGCCAGCGTCAGCCTTTTTGAATTTTTTTTACAAAACTTAATTTGTTAAATTCACCTCTGAAATGAAATTATTGCTACTGAAGTCATTAAAACACTTTTTTTTATTATGGGGGAATATTCTTTAATTTAGCTTATCATTTTGGCAATATGTATTCTTCAAAAGTAATTTACAAGCCTGACCATGTTTAATAACAGTTATTAAAAAAGGTTGATTATACAAAGTATATGATATTTAAGTCATTTGAACTTAAAGAAAAGCTGAAAATTGCTTAACTTATTTTGATGAGTTAAAGCAATGTAAAAATATGTTTTCAACTAATTGATCATCATTTTTACAGTGTATGTGCAGTGAAAGTTGAGTTGCAGATTGCAGAAACACTTCAGATTGACAGTGTCTGCAGTTATCAATCTGAGAACTGAAAATCAGCAAAAACTGCACTTAGCTATCATAAGTCAATAATTTCAGATCAATTTAGAGACGAACGGACTAAAATGTAGGCAATCATATTCTGTTGATCGGCCTCATGGCACAACAATAGACAGGTTACCATGACATTAAAAATCAAATTATGACAAAACGGGCATTAAAAAAATCTACACCGCTTAAATCTGAAGAAATCTTTATTCATCTTCTCAAGAGTAGAAAGTCACATGATCATTTAGCAACATTACACTGTTCTAGTGTCGACCAAAATACATGCATTTTGGAGTGTATATACTTTAAACCACAGTTATTGTAATTTCTCTTTTACATCCAATTGTGGGCATTCCAAAAAAAGAAAATTAAACACGACAGAGGTGGATCCCCCTTTGAGCGTGGCGGCTGTACCATGGCTTTACTTTAGCGCAGAAAGAAGAAACACTGGCACTGGCTTCCAGTCTTACTCCTTTTGTCTCTAAATTCATCAAAACAGAGATAGAGAGTGTTGGCAGAGCTACAGCAAGGAGCGTTGGTTTAGTTAGTTTAGTCACACAGAACTATAGGAGAGACAGACACAGGATCTTCAGTGCAGGAAAACATGAGAAAAACTTAAAGGGAAAGTGAGTGTACAGGACATGTTCACACATACTTTACTGAAGGTGCATTTTATTTCATTGTGCATCACCTTCATGTACAGCGATATATCGGCATTTCAAGTACAATACAGAGAAAATGTAAAGCAGTGTATCTTTGAACAATAACTGTTTTGCTGACTAATAGACAAGCACTGTGGTGTTTCTATCACATCAGAGAAACATAAACTCTATCGCCTCTTTTAATCATCCATCTGTTTTTATAAAATGGCAATTTCAAAGCATTTAATCAGTTCCCTTTGACACTGGAACTAAAATACTTCAGCTTTCACTCCTGTGAAAAAGGCTATAAAACTCACACAAGATAGTGTGTAAGTGTATTATAAACTTTTATACAAGATTGTGTACATTTTTATTGAACAACAAAAAAAGATGGTATCAAATTTGATTATTGCTAGTGTTTACATATGTTTTGAATTAAAAAGCTGTACAGGGATCTTGTTGATCCAAATAAAAGAAATGCATCCATGTCAAAAGAAAATAATCAGAAATATTCAGTGTTTGATTAAAGTTATAATTACAAATATGATGTGCTATGTACAAGGCACTGGATCACATGAATTATATTAAAGGTGCAATGTGTACATTTTGAGTATCTATTAACCGAAATGCAATATGACATCCATAACTATGTTTTCAGCAGTGTATAAAGATGTAATTTTTTACCTTAGAATGAGACATTTGTATCTACATAACTCATATAGATACACACATACAGTAGATATATACTCTAGATGTCGCCTTGGCTGCGGCAGTTCATTAAAACGAATGCGTCAATTGAGCCGCCATCTTTAATGCATCAGTGTCAATGTAGACTAAGGTCTAACAGAAATAAAATCACCTTAATCATAAGTTTTCTAGTTTTTTTTTTTTTTTGGTTCATTCCAACGGTCAGACATGTGTTTATCATTGATTCCAGAAAAAAAAATGTTTTTTTAAAAACATTCTTCCTAGTTCAGATTTTATTCGTGTGAATATCATACAGAGCACAAAAGTCCGCCACCATCAATTAATTCAAAGTAAAGGCAGAGATAGCAGTGTTATCTAGCTTCTTCCTTTGACAACACCCCTGTTCCAAGATGGCGGCGGTTCATGCTTAGAACCCCAAGGTGACATCTAATGTATATGTCTACTCTTGGCTTACTCTGGCTATTCTCTGACGGTATGTTTGTCCTGTTTTAGCCACCGTAGCTTCTTCGAAATGGAGGGGTGAGCAGTGGGCTGAGCCCTTAGTGCAACTCGCAACCAAACCACTAGATGTCGCTAAAAAATACACACTGCACCTTTGAGACTTGGCACATCATTAATATGGATGTATCGCTGTGGATGTAGTCTGCAGTATGGATGTAGGACTGGAGAGGAAAAAAAGACTGTTCCGACTGTAAAATCTGATTGGATAAGCTGAACTTTATCGGCATTAATATTGAAATGTTGCTTCTAAGCAACTTATATGTTGTTTATTCTTTCTGCTTTTATGTATATGAGCAATGAGCCACTTTATACCATGCATTACAGTGATTTACCATGTTAAGTGGGTTATACCACTGGTGAAATCACTAACATAAGCTTCTCACGGCTTATTGAGTCACTTGAGGGTGGTGAAGGGACATGGAAATGCAGGTACCAGTTGTCTTTTCTTTCATGCATGAACCATGAATTCCAGGAACAACTGACATTGTCATTTATATTTAAAGAATTTGTTCCAATTCAGCTTCAAGGCTTTCAGAACACAACAATCTTCACTTGAGACAATGCAAGGGCACATCAAATCCGTCCTGCTCTAATCAACACTTGAGGCAATTAGAAAACAGATACTTTATTGAAGGCACTCCAGATGAGATCATGGAGGCCCTTTACATCAGTAATAAAAGTAATGAGATGGAAAAACACTGAGACCTCTTTAATAATTACATCATATCCATTCAATTGTACAATGCAAATTAATAATTCCAAAACACCTGAATATAAATGTATTTTTATAAATCCTCAGCTTGGACTTGTACTTGGGTAAACTCTAAACTGTACATTCAAACATATTGCCACATCGGTTTCATTGTATTTTTTTTTTTTTTGTTCAACAAAAAAATTAATTATTTACTTGCCCTCATGTCATTTCAAGCTCATACAACTTCTATTTCTTGCATGGAACACAAACAAAATTTTGTGATTTCTGAGCTTCACTCTTCAATAAAGTGAAAGTGGATTGGGACCAGTTGCTGTCACGCTTCAAATGAATATAAAAAGCACTATAAAAGTGGTCCATATGTTTGTGTGAGGAACAGACAATCACAGAAAAAGAAAATATTGCTGTACAGGTCCATTCACTTTCATTTTAAAGGGTTAGTTCACCCAAAAATGAAAATTAAGTCATTAATTACTCACCCCCATGCTGTACCAACCCCGTAAGACCTTCGTTCATCTTCGGAACACAAATAAAGATATTTTTGATTGAATCTGAGAGCTAGATCAGTCCTACATAGACTGCCTAAGGGACTGGCTCTTGACGGCCCATAAAGTCATTAAAGAAAAGGTTTAAATATTCCATGTGCCTACAGCGGCTCAACTATAACTTTATCAAGCGACGAGACTACTTTTTGTGCGAAAAAAAACGTAAATAACGACTTTATTCGACTTTCCATTACTTGCTTATGGGCGCATGCGCGAGAACTGAGACGAGACCGTTCTTCTTCGACTACTTTTTGTTACCGGCTGCTCACCGCTTAGGAGTATTAGCGCTCCCTACCGTATAAGATGACGTACTGCTTGTAAACAGAACGTTTTGCGCCTCCGGCTATATCAGTACGTCATCTTATACGGTAGGGGGCGCTAATACTCCTAAGCGGTGAGCAGCCGGTAACAAAAAGTAGTCGAAGAAGAACGGTCTCGTCTCAGTTCTCGCGCATGCGCCCATAAGGAAGTAATGGAAAGTCGAATAAAGTCGTTATTTACGTTTTTTTTTTTCGCACAAAAAGTAGTCTCGTCACTTGATAAAGTTATAGTTGAGCCGCTGTAGGCACATGGAATATTTAAACCTTTTCTTTTAATGACTTTCTGGGCCGTCAAGAGGCAGTCCCTCAGGCTGTCTATGGAAGAGTGATCTAGCTCTCAGATTCAATCAAAAATATCTTTATTTGTGTTCCGAAGATGAACGAAGGTCTTACGGGGTTGGTACAGCATGGGGGTGAGTAATTAATGACTTAATTTTCATTTTTGGGTGAACTAACCCTTTAAGGAAAAAAATCTGCTTCTTTGTGTTCCACAGAGGAAAAAAGTTACGCAAATGATGAAATAATTTCCATTTTCTGGTAAAAACTAAATCAATGGATCCCCTCGATGTGAAAAGTGATGCACTTAGTTTATACATTGCTGACATGTACATGCATGAAAGACAGGCAAGAGATACATATAGACAATTTAACATGTTTATTGAAAAAAGTTCAACATCCTTATGATAGGAACGTATGGTGAGGAAAGTCAACATGGAATATTCAGCATTCCGGTTCCATTTGGCTGCTTCCAACTTGGATAAAATAAGGGAAAGAGAAGGAGGAAAGGGTGGATCTAGATCCTCTTCCTCTGAGGGTGGAGTGAAGGGGAATGGATTGTTGAGAGATAAAGGAAGACAGGGAAGTGAGTGTGGACGGAGGGGAGTGTGGTGTCTGTGTGTCTGTCTGTCCTCTCACACTGTCGAAATCAATTTGCCCTCGGCACTGTGGAACAAAGAGAGGGAGATGCTGCCAGACTGGCTTTGGACAGGGACAAATTGATGCACAGAGAGCATAAAGCACTCAAGTTCAAGGAATAGTTCACCCATAAATGAAAACTGTTATCATTTACTCACTTTTTCCAAACCAAAGTTACAATGAACGGCGACTGAGCTTATCAGGCAAAAGCACCATGAAAGAATCATAAAAATAGTCCATGAATTGTTTGCTATACTTGAACTCAAGAAATGAAAGAGATTCGTGAATTTTTTGTGAACTTGATCAACCAATTCACGGAAAATAATTATTCGTTTTTGTGCTTCTCTCCTGAAAGGAGAGGCAGGGGGTGATTTAAAATCTAGTGTTTTCTTTATAAAAAGCTATTGAATGGCTTCAGTGGACTTATGAATATAGGAAATTAGTCATTTAGACTACGTTTATGGTCCTTATTGAAGCTGAAAAGCGCAAATCTCCATTATTTCTTGTCTTCCAAGAAAGGAAGAAAGTCCTCTGTAATGATGTGAGGGTGAATAAATGATGACAGAATTACATTTTTTGCGCGAACTATCCCTTTAAATGTTACTCATTTAATCTCTATTAAAGCAGGTTGCAGACATGTGATGGGCTTCATTTCCTGCAAGACGTGTGTGTGTGTGGTTCAAAAGTAAAATGAGAACAATTCAAACATATTTTTTCAAAATCAGAAAAAAATTCCATATTCATCATACACTTGTATTGAGAAAATGGAGCCCATTGTTTCAAATGCATCATGGGAGTCAAATCTAAATGGTGTAAAGTGAACTAGAGGTTTAAAATACTCAGGGAAGCCTGTGGAAAATCACTTCTCAGGAGAAATTCCCTACAGAAACTAAAAGTTGGAACAAAAAACACTTAACGACTATTTAAGACAGACACACACGGACGACAAAAGCAAGAATGGAATGGAAACGTAAATGGAAAAAATAAACCATTTGAGAAATGTAATCTCTACCTACTTCAAATTTTGGGATGCTAAGGAATTTGGAATAAAAGCTGGGAATGGTCGGCTTCCCCATAGATGACCCACAAGGCGCTATTTATTTATTCATAGTGATGTCACACAAGGTGCTTTACCAATTTGAGTTAACTTTTCTTTTTTATTGTAGAAAGTATAGGTTCAACATGTTTGAGAGTAGGTATGCTTCTCATCTATGGGAAATGACCATAATGACTTATATTATTGTGAGGTTAATGAAACCCATTTAAACAATCAGAGGTTTCTCTCTTGTTCAACATGGGTTTAGGTGCCGTTTGGTCACCCGCCCACCTTATGTTTGGGCTAGACCTTCAGAAACGTCAGCTATGTTCGTCTGCTCCGGCTGCAGGTCAAGCAAACGAGACTTTTTTTGCTTGCCATAATCGCCACGGATTTAGAATATGAATGTAACATTTTTAATTCAAACAAAACCAGAGAGAAATAATATAGGAAACAAAAAAAGAACTTATAGACAAACTAAAATGCGTTTTGTTGATATTGTGTCACTGTTCAGAAGACAAATGAGTAACTTGGTCTTACCTTGTTTGGAATCGAGACTCGTACTCCTCCAGCCCTTGCTGTGAAGGAAGAGAAAATGTTATTTACTTTTCTTCACATCTACAGTAGATGGCAGTAGAAGAACACTTATGAACTGCAGTATTGATGATGCTGTTGCTAAAGCTTTACTATTGTAACAGGGAATAAAAAAGGAGGTCATTGGGTGCATCCTGAACAGAAGCAATGTGTCTCCAGTCCAAAAAACATAAAGCATGACAATATTGAATGCACTAAGGAGGGGTTCTTGCTGGCTTTGTTGCATGTGTGGATATGTACACTTTGCTGGCTTCATTACACACATGGGTATATTATACACGGACCTATTATATAACAAAGCCCTACTTCTGAAACTGTGACATAAAGCGTTCCACCATACCTCTGGTGAATGAGATTGTGATGCATTTTGATGCTACCCCAGAAGTATGCTTATTTATACAAGTCTGTAATGCCATTGCGCCATTGCAAGTGGATATATTTCAGTAAAGTTTAGTACAAAAACAGACTTCTCATGCAAATATTTCTCAAAAATAAACGTTGGGTTTTAAATGCCAAACCCTAGATTTTGTTTGTTCTTACATGCAACATGCCAGCTTCCTTCAGGGTTCAGGGTAATTTACTGGAACGTCCTCTATGCGGTTAGCTGGAGATTGGGCTGCTCTAATCGAACTGTCGCACCACTATATATTTCAGCATGTCTGATAAATGTCTACGAAAGGTGATTAAGTCTACGGTACTATTTTTATAGAAAGCTACTAATATCTGCATACATCTGTCAAGTTTAATCTGTGTGTACTGGATGCAAGAACGAGAATAGACAGGGTGTGTGTGTGTGTGTGTGTGTGTGCATAGCTTACTTGTGAGAATCCTGGCACAGCCATGCTGTACGGTCTCTGTCGGCTGTGTGGTGTGCTCTGCTGCTGGGCGAGGAAGCGTGCGGGCATGCCGTAATCAGGTGTTGGCAACGCCATCTCTCTCTCCAGAAGATTTCCTGTGCTGCTGCTCCTGTTATGCTGCAAACTGCAAACACATGTATACACACCATTCAAGTCAACGTGATTTGCCATCTGCAGCTCATTTATATGTCTATAATGTGACATTTTTGGATATTGAAATGAGAAATGTAGTTTATTTTATCCATTAGGAATTGATTGGATGTTGCATACTAGAATGGTGCCAAACTGAATTCACATTTGCTCAAATAATGTCTAAACATTATGATATTGGATAACATTATCCAAGTGGCATCAGTGAAAAGGAAAGTGAGACTGAGCTAGACTACTGTACATTTAAAGGATGCTGGCATTTCTTTTCTTGGAATAACATGCACAGAGGATCAAAGGTTCATTTTGATTTGTCATGCCAACATTAACATCTTAATGCACAGGCATCAAGCTTGTCTAAATTGCAAATGCCATATATATCAGAGGTCGCACGCCTCTGGAGCAACTAGGGGTTAAGTGTGTTGCTCAGGGACACATGGGTGTCCGGAACCCGGGTCTCTCACACCAAAGGCATGCGTCTTATCCACTGCGCCATCACCACCCAGCATTTAGAAATTGAAAAGGCTTTTGTAAGACTCACCTGACGTGGAGTTTGTTGCTGTCTGGTTCGGGAATTACACGCGTGTAAGAGAACGGGAACCAGCCTCTCCTGATAAGACACATACAACATGGCATTTGAAGCAGATTTTCGGGTTCATCAATTTGCTTTAAAACACTTTCATCATCCAAAATCTTTTTCTCTAAAGTCACTATGCACGAACAAATTTTATTGAGATGTTAAGCATAAGATGCTTACATTCTGTTCTTCTCGTTTTCACCGTAGTGCCAGCCATCTCGGGCTTCAGGCACCAACAGTGTGATGATGTCTCCTTCCATAAAGCTGAGGAGAGTGCTGTTGTCCCCGGCGGCATGGGAAAAAAGGGCCTGAACGCGTGTTCGGCCATTTCTCTCCAGCCCAGCTGCCATCGAGCTTGACCTGGGCAGGGTCTGTGTCTCTGCTAGGGTCAAAGATGAGAAATTCCTCATTATTGATTATGCAAGAGAAATGTCAGTGTATTTATACACAAACATGTATATTTTATAGAATAAATTGTTTTTGTGTTTAAAATATTTGTCTTGTTAACATACTAACATCAAACTAATGGAATCAGATCAAATCGGTCACTTCCGAGATTTAGTTTCAGTTAGTATCCTGCCAAAGTAGGCAATTAACAAGGCGGCTATTGAAAATTTGGTTGTACTTTATTTGACAGTACATGTACTTACCCAAGAAAGAACTGGTTAATATAAGCCAGGGTGACTACATGAGTTAAGGTTAGGTTTAGGGGTAGGTTCAGGGTTAGTACCTAGTTACTACCCAGTTATTATAAAAAATATAGTAAGTACCTACTAGTATATACATGGGGAACAGGACTGTTAAATAAAGTGCTATCAAAATTACACGTAAAGGTCGTGTACAACACTCATTAAGAGGGCTTGTTTCTGCTGCTTCTTAAAAATACTTCCTTCAAAGGAGAAGCTATAACCTTCACCTATTTTCTACTCATTTTTAAAGCTGTCCTCTCTATTCCCAGCTGCTCTGCCCCGTTTTCATTTTCAGCAGTGTTTGCCCTGTTATTGTCCACTCACTAGAGGAATACTCACTAATTTCTTGAGAGAGAAACGCACAGGTGCACAGACCCTGACAAAGCTGTAAAGCGCAGATGCCAGATCAAAAATAAGTTATATACATAGCTGAGTATTGAATAAACAGCACTGAAAACTTCCATTTGAGTTAGATGCAATGGGAGATGTTTCGCTTGTTGCATCCTTAACTTACCCAGAGTGTTCTTAGGCTTTGCAGGAGCACCTTTGCGCACAGGCAGGGTATTAGAGAAGGTCTCTACACCGTGTCTGTGAGATTGCGCGGATGGTTTCTCGTGTGCGGCTCTGGTCTCCATCCAGCGTTGGTAATCTTCTCCTCCATGGGCCCCTGATCCATTCATTATGGGTACACATTCGGCTCCCATCATCCTCTGCAAGAGGATTTTTTCGGAACAATTAAAACGCATAGTTTTCATGTGCAAAACCAAACACTTTACTTCTACTATACAGTAACTTCTTGCTTCAGCTGTGCCTTTGTGATAATAAACAGTAAACTGAAGAGTTGTACATTCTTTCCACAGCATTGTGGTCATTATCAAACAGCATTTTAATGACTTTATATCCATCATTTGGCCGTGAGTGGTTCTCACACCCCCAAACACCCTCAGGACGTAATTATACACATAATTAATGCAACCATTTACATATTTTCTAGCTGCACTTGAGACGTATAATTTTGTAGCTCTCCTTGTTTTATTCAGGTCAAACAGGGTTTCTAACACACCGTCTGTTGGCTCCCCATGAGAGCTGCAAGCTCAGGTGGCACAGGAAGTGGCTTGGCCCCAGGGATGGGGTCTGAGATGGTCAGGTTAGATTTAGAGGTGTGGTGTCCCAGCGTCCCCACCGCTCCTGAGCCCATCTGCTGAGCCAGAAGCATCGCCCGCTCCGGGAGTTTATTTGGGTCGGCACATGCTTGTTGCCACAATGGGATCTTATGCGTTAGCAAGTCTCTGCCCTAAAACAAACAATCCACACCACAACAAGTATTAGCACCCAGCATGAGTGACAAACTTTACATACTGTACCTGCAAGAGAACAATTTAGAAAACCCATGTGGGTAAATCATGAATAGACCAATACAGACTCTTTATGTGAAAATAAACTTCAGATCCTGCACAGTTAAGGTTTCAGGGGTGAGCTCTTCAACTGATGGACTGATAGAGGGAATGCGATAAAGTGTGATATAGTGAGTGATCCCTCTTCACCAATCGTTCCTCTGAAGCACTGATACATCCCTCTCTATCCTGATAACCTCCCTTCTCAGTATGTTGAAGCCTGAAATAGCCTCATTACTCTGCCCTGTGCACAGGCAGTGAGCCTGGCCCTGGCTGAGTGTTACGACCAGTAGCTGTAAAAGGGAGAGATGAGGAACGCCTAGAGACCCCCGAATGTAGAGCACAGGAAGTGCGATTTTTATCTTTGGACTCTTTTCTGTAATTCAGAGCATCTGCTTGAGCAGTGCATGGATGCTTGTTTAAAACTCTGCAGACCCACATGTGTTGTGACATTTTTATAGTTCACCCCAAAATATATTGACACCCGCATGTTGTCCCAAACCGGAAGAGGGCAATTTATGAAGAACTTTTTTATGGTGTCTGTCTGACAGATGATGACTACGATAGGGTTATAATTAACCATAATATGGCATATGCTAAACATAGTACTAAACATCTCTGTATTCAATGATAATCTTGCCCTCAACAGAAGCCCTGAAATCTGATTTGCATTCACATTCAAATAAAGATATAAAAAAAATTATCATTTAGTTTGTGTGTGTGAATCAGATTTGAGAACTGCACAAAAATGGTTAATTTATTATTATCTATAGACTAGGAAACAACAGAATATGTTTTTGGAACATAATTCATTGCTATTTTTTTAATGTTTGGGTTCCCAATCCGGTTCCTGAAGATCTACCTTCCTGCAAAGTTCAGCTCCAACCCTGATCTAACACAACTGAACCAGCTACTTAAGAACTTGATAATTCAACCCAAATAGTGTTGGATTAGGGTTGAATGTAAACTCTGCAGGTCTCCAGGAGGCAGGAACAGGGCATCCCTGCTTTAACATAAGTGTAATAAATGTACTACACATTGTACTAGGGTGAAAAATGTATATTAAGGTTAAACTTATTTGCCTTTGAGTGAAGGGGCTCGAGGAAGCAGCTTCAACAATAGCAAAATGCCTAAATTATGTTGGTGGAGCTGGGGAGATGGAGGGATACCAAAACAGCCGATGCCGTAGCAAGGCGATCGAATGCTTATATGGTCCGGCAGTTAATTGAAAGATTAAATGGGTTCACTCATCCCGAAATTACATTTAAGAATTTCACTTAACATATCAAAACCTTTCTAATCTAATCTTTGTTTTTATTCTCCTTCACTCGGTTCTTCTAATATCTCTATTTGGCCAGCACAGGTCAGTACCGCATCTACCGAGCCCCCATGGTCCTTTTCTGAGTCACGATCTCATACCACCCCAACCAAAGCAATTATCACCCGCCTGCCTGTCCGGCACCTGCAGACTCTGTCACGACCTCATTGGGTCCATGAAAGCAAAAACGCTAGTGCTGTTTCCATTGCATTGAACACAATTGGCAGAACTTAAAAGTCAATTTATCCATGCAGATCATTTTAAAAATTCATGTGCCTTCACAATCTTCAAATCAAAAATATGAACTCCCCTTCTCTTTGCAACAACATAATTTAATGTAATGAGATCTCACATCATGCAAGCAGTTGGTAAACTCCAATAATCCCTAAATCAAGTCCCGTCCTACATTTCACTCAGATATACTTCACAATAGGGAAGAAAAGACGAGCGCACTTTCCAATTCTTCATTATTTTAAATGCTGCAAAGTATCAAGAGTCGACATGACATTCAGTAAGGTAATTAAACTAATTGCCAAGTTGAAGCAACATGGTTTTAAAATGGATTTAAAGGGCTAGTTCACCTTAAAATGAAAGTTTGATAATAATTTACTCATATGTCATTCCAAACCTGTATTCATTTCTTTAGTGGAACACAAATTGCAAACTGATATTAAAATCCTGAACTATTATTCCCTAAAAGTCTTGCTCTGTCATATAGTAGTTATTAAATTTCATTAAGTTACATTCAAAAATGATACTTAGAGACATATTGTGGTGGGTTAATCAATGCAGCTAAAATGCTAGTGGTTCACAGGAGAGTGAATAGGATTTGAGAGTTTTGAATGCAGTATGCGAATAACCATTTAACATTAGCCTCTTCTTCATAAAAAGGTATTGTAAGACCAATAAAGCACAAGAAGAGTCAATTATTCTGCAAAACATCTCCTCGTTTTGACATATTGGTTATAAAGCTCACTGACATGTTGATATAGTTCAAATACCTCAAAGAGTTAGGCACTTGATCCTAAGTTGCTCCAAAGGGACTGACCCTGCATAAGAATGGTAAATCTTGCTGCTTTTGTTTTCACACAGATCCAATTCAGAGACCAGTACTAACTACCCATTAGTTCCCAAGAAATATATAAAACCTTCAAGCATACAAATCTTATTGCATGTTTATTTTCCATTTTCATCCCAGTGGTAAAATATCTTAGTCATCTGAGCGTGAGAAAAACTCTTATACTTTCTTTGTTACTTCTGCCCTCAGTTGCAGACGAATGATTAAGTATCAAGTACTGCTGCTATTGCATGGCTGGCGTGGGCAACAGTGTTAAAATCCAACCATGACGAACTCTGGCAGATGGTCATTTAGTTCACATCACTTTGTTCTTCCTGTTCTCACAAAAGTAGATCATAAAGACAGTGAGAGAATAGACCAATACAATTTACCCAATGAAGTACCGCCACATTGTCTAAAATATTTCTCCATTTGCCTGCTGAGAAAGATTCTTCCTACACACATGAAAACAGTGATTATCGTCTGAACAGTCTGTTCTTGTAAAAGTGGGCCACTCTCTGACTGGCCCTCCCGTTTTTTTTTTCCTTCTCTTGCCATCGTTGCTCCCAATGCTCTGTCTATCACCATCTCTGAAGAGTGGGCGTCACAGCAGAGGAGTGAATCTCGCTTACTTGGGAATGACTGGTGTTCTTCTGCATGCTGGTGAATCCACCAGATTACTGAATATCTACTCTATTTTTGATCAGTGTGAACCTTAATGTGGGTGCATCACCTTGATTAAATCTTAATACGATTGATAAGCAAATGAATCTTTCCTCAATATACATTCAAGCACATTCTCTAGCAAGCATGGTGGAATGATCAGCAATGAAATGCAATGAATTACTGAATAAATGGCAATTGGGAGCAGAAACAACTGAACATAAAATGTGAAGTTGTCCAAGTATATTATTTACTTGGCAAAATGGATACTTAATTTATAGTATATGATCTGCTTTAAAGAGATAGTTCATCCAAAAATGAAAATTATGTCTTTCTCACCCTCATGTTTTTCCAAACCTGTATGAGTTTCTTCTGTTGAGAACAAAATAAGATATTTTTTAAAACTGATATCCAGACAGTTGACGGTAGCCATTGATTTCCATAGTATATAAAAATATATATGTATATTGTTGAAGTCAATGAGGCCCATGAACTGTCTGGTTACCAAAATTCTTTAAAATATCTTCTATATTTTAAGAAACTCATACAGTACCAGTTTAGGAGAACATGACCGTGAACTATCCCTTTAATGCTTACATTACATGACTGAAATGTTAAAGACAACATGAAATTGAACATATATACTTTCTTAAAAGTCTTTTGACATGTCAGATTTTTCCAGAATATTTGATCAAATGTAATAATTTTCATAAATGCTAATGTAACAAAAGCCAAGTTGATATAAATGAGGTCATTAACAAGTTGGCATTATCGTTAAATATTAAACGATAATTTAACTGAACCAAATAGGGATAAAATCAAATTAGTCTCACTGATTATTCAGCTTATGTCACAATGTGGAAGTTAAATGTGTTATAAATGTTGTCTTTAACATTTAAATGTGCAAACAAGTGCTAAAATGCATTAAGGACATTTTTACTTAAATTAACTGAATTTCAGTGTTTCTGCAACCCAAATTTTCTTCAACATAAAATGGATTCTCACCTTGGTGTGGTAGGTGCTGCTCGTTTTGGCCACTGCACATTGACGGTCAACAAGAAAGCAATACCTCCGTCTCTCTTCGGACAGGGCGTTCTTGTAGCTCTCAGAGATGTAGTTATCCAGCTCATTTTGTTTGCTGCTGATGGTCTCGACGTACTGGGGGACAGGGAAGGTGGTGTGAAGCAAACAAAAAAAAAGGCAAACAATGCCCAAGTTTGACTCAGACTGATGACTGATGTAATGTCATGCTAGGAGAAATTGACATGCACTTTTCAAATGACAACCATGTAGGCTTGCTGTTACTCTCATTGTGTGATAGCAAATGGGAATGGTCCATAGCACACAAAGCTGGTGAAGGCTTCCTATTTGGTTTGATCAGAGAATCCAAGTAGCAAAGTGGGTCATGCTCATTATTTAGCATTCAATAAATAATAATAATAAAATACATTTTAAAAATGGACTAAAATAATCATAACATTAACTCAAGAGGCCTGTATAACAGCATAGAAATGATCAAGGCTGCTGCCTCGGTAGAGATCACACTACAGTCAAAACATCATCTAACAAGGACATACACCTTGCAGGAACTGGATGTGATCCAAACGCACACACACAGATGACACCTTCCATAAGGTTCCTCAACCTGTGTAGGCATCGTGATACCACAGTGAGTTATGCTGATTCCTTCCCACCAAGTGTAAATGAAAAAGGCTGGAATCGCTGTTTGCAAGTCTATTATTAGTTTTCGGTTAGAAAAGGTCATTGCATCATGTGAACTGTGTCACAGGTTCATAGTGATGTATGAATGTGTACAATATGTTCACCCAGACTGTCATTCTTTGACGTGTTATGAGTTTAGTGACTTACCAAATTGAAATGAATAAAGCAGTGCCACATTATGTAATTGGTGGTACATATCCAACCAGCACCAAAACAGCTTTGTAGGTTTAGTTACTCTGATGCACATCAAATGTGCATGTTGTAATACTTCAGCATAAAACTCATGTGGGAAAGAAAGTGAAAGACTGAAAACAGATGAAAAGCTAAAGAGAAACACAACAAAACAGACGTTGCAGTGTCAAATATAAAAGCAGATATTGGGTTGTCCAGCTACTATACATGTAATCCGCCTGTAGGTAAAACACAAGATGTAAATGCAACAGGATTTCCAGGATTCTCTCTGAACATGAGTGGGAGTTTGACAGGTGAAAGGTAACATGCTCAGCACACAAAAACAGCTGATTGCAGAATATTTCTGCAAAGTGTCAGTCACATCACATTATCAATCTTGACAACTTTATTTAAAGTGAACTGTGAATTGCTCAGCAAAGAAATATATTCCAGGAGACTGAAAAGAAAATGCTGAGGGCAAAGCATGGTTGTCCTCAAACAGCCTCTGTTCTTTCTAGGTTCTTTGAAGGCATTTCCCTCCCCTTTGGAGTCCGGTTCTCCAGTGTAAACACCCTTAAAGAGAAACTCAGGATTCATTTTTTTTTAAAGACAAACTAGCATATGGTTAAGGTTCTGTCACTTTGGTCTGGTTTATTCTTGGTTTGGTGACAAAGCCCTGACACTCTTATCGTCTTGTCTTTGTGTGGGCGAGCCTTGCACTCTTTCGTACGATCGTGACCTTGTATGTGCGGAGTACGGTGATTGGATTCTGGCACTTTCAGTTACAGACATTCATGCTCCATGTTTAGTCTTTTGTTGTGAGCGCGCAAGTTGAGTGTTCATTGTGCTTTTGTTGAGCGTCTTCTGGTGTTCATTGGCACGGCACTCTTGTGTTCTCGCGTTCTGTGTAGCATGAGGCTTGTGTTTATTATTGGCCGTGTTGCTTCATGTTGTCATGATTTGTGTGGACACGCAAACAGGGTACTTTTGGTTTGCTTTTTTTTTTAAATCTAAATAAAGATTGCTGAAGTTCTTCCCTGAATTTGGGTCCACTCTTCCTTCAACAAACCTGAGATTTACACTACCGATAAAAAGTTTTAAGTTTAAAGCCATTTCTATTTTAAAGAAATGTTCTTTTAGACTTGCAAAGAATCCTTACTCTTCTTTTTTTCCGCTTTTCACAAAAATATTAAGCACCACAACTGTTAACTGACAGAATTACTGAAGAATAACTGAATTCTTGAGCACCAAATCAGCATGTTATAATGATTTCTGAAGGGCCAGACTGCTGTAATGGCTGCTGAAAATTCAGCCTTGCAATCACAGAAATAAATTACATTTTCAAATAGAAACCAGTTGTTTTAAATTGTAATAAAACAACTGTATAAAATTAAAAAAAAATCTTACCAAATCCAAACCTTTAAGTGGTATGTAAGCTACTAAAATGGCTGTTTTTGTGGGCAGCAGTAATTTATGATTGAATCTCTATTTTGGAATTTGAACATGTCGTTGCCCACATCTGCATGTAGACTGCTTTATGCGCTAATGGATCACATATGACATTTCTCTCTGGATAATGACAGCACTATACAGCAGGATTTTCTTTGAATTGAATGACCCATGGTCAAAACCCCTTTTCAGGCTCCTATTAAATATTCTTTCAGTGTCTGAGTCATGAAGAGTACATTAACATGTACAAGCTGCACACTGAGATTAAACCTTGAGGTTCAGCAAGTACACTTACACAACTGCAGACGTAAAACCAGTGAAAGTCCGTTGCCAGATACAAGTACAAAAATATGTTGTCAACAGGCAAAGCTCAAATTCATCACATTTCTGCATCTTACAGATCCCAGGCTGCCCCTGGACTAGTTAATTTGCACACATAGAGTTTCACTGCTGCCAGTAATTCTCTTTATTTTATTTAGTGGCTGAGTAAAATGTATGAGAACTAGTTTTTTTATGTCAGCTTTGATATATGTTTACTGCAATACAGCCTGAGACAATAAGTTCACTCGTGATTTATTTAAAACTATGTAAACTATATTTTCACCTTCAGACATTAAATGCATAGGAACATGGCATTCAACATCTGTATTTACAATCTTCTTTAGTAACAGACAGGCAGTGTGATTAGCATGATGTACTTGTGAAGTAGCTAAAATGATCATACCCTTAAGCAAGAGTAAACATTTTTTAAATAGCTGTCAGGATAAAAACACTGCATTTAACACAGGTTTACACACTAGAGTTGGTAAACAGGTACTGTACTACTGCATAGTCATCATAGTGTATTTGTATGCTGGGGAGTAGGTAGCCGTATGGCTCATTGTGGTGGAGTCGGGGTAAATGGGTTCAGAATTCATATTCAGATTTCTGCACTATGTGCCTTTAGTTTGATACCCAAGGGGAATACAAATGTACACACATATACACGCACAAAGATGATGTAACGTGGGTCCATATCCTACACTACTGCAGTCTGAAATCATAAGCGACCCTTCAGTTGAAATCAATCTGCCTGCCCTCCGTGTGGCCTCATTTTAACACATGCAGAATATGAATGCAGGATACGAGTGCAATGCGCCATCATTTCTGTGCATTATGATTCCTCAAGGAAACAAAAAGAGAGAAATGAGTAGATTAAATTAGTCACGGTATTAATATTGGCAGCAGTTCTGTGAAGAACTGGAACGTTTCTCTTTAGTAATCAGGGAGGAAATTGAAATGGAAATTGAATCGTTTCTTATATAAAACAAAATGTTTTAACAACTGTCAAATTACAAAATTCTAATTCTAATTATTCTTATTATAATTATAACAAGAATTATTCTATTTATTCTTGTTATAATTCTATTATAACAAAAGCTGATTTACTGAATAAATAGAATTTTTACAGAAAATATTAACTAGTATATTGGCATTTTTGGGGCAAATTCCGATTTTTTTTTAAAAGGTTGATATTAAATCTTGATTTTGTCTAAATAGATAAAGAATTTGTCAAAGTGAATTTACGCATCACAATATTACAATGTAGAGTTTGAAAATTGATTTGGGATTACGAATATAACATTTAAAAATTATTATTATTTTAAAAGATTAACTTTTTATTAACCTTTAACCTGATTAACCTTTTTTTTTTTTTACATCTAATGCTCACTAAATCTAAATGAAAAATATAGGGTAATATTCATGCGAAATTAAATATCCTACATTGGCAATTTTTTTAAAAATAATTATAATCTATAAAACAAATCTCCAATATCAGCAAATAACTGATAAGGTACCAGCTATCAAGTCTTTCAGATATTCCCTAAGGCTTGGTGTAGTGTGTTTTTCAGTGTTCTGCTCATGGCATCTCTGAAAACAGACTCTCCACAGCAGGATGCACAGCAGGGACCATGAGCCCATCATGTAAAATTCATCCATGGTTCATACTGAGCTGCTAAGTGGAATGAACACACTCACACACCTATAAATAATTGACAAAAGCTATTACAGAAAAAAAACATTCATTGGACATTTAAGAAATCTCATGAGAGAGATGCCACATGTAGGGAACCATGGGAAGGATTTACACATACAGTGTTTTCTCAGCTGGGGAGCGCTGGGGTTTATGGGCTGTGGCCAGAGACGTTTTAACTTGGAGCTTCAAATATCGACTCCAGAAAATAAGTACATCACAGCCTCTGTTTCTGATTGGAACTGAATCTGTTGAGGTCTATGGAGCTTCCGTTAGACTCCAGAACAGGAACAGGAAGTTACCCTGATTGTGTTCACTTAATTTAAACGACCCACTCATCTTCTTCCTTTCTGTGTTTTCTCTTATACACACCTGTTGAGTGTGTTTAAAATGCAAGCAGAGCCCACAGCGTTTTACGCAACAGTGTGTTCCCACACTACTACGAGGAGCACACCTACAGCTAATGGCATGAACTGACCCCAGGTCAGTCCACAGCATAACACTCCCACTTCCCCCTGACCTCACACCTGGTGACGACGGTAGTGAGAGGCGTACGTTCAAAACAAACAGCGGCCCCGACAATTCAACCCCCGTACAATGAGGCCTCGTGAACAAAAGCACAAGGACAATGAAACCCACACAAAACAAGTACAATATTGCATGGGAGGGCTTCAGCCAAACAGAGTGGGATTTTCTTTAGCACCTTAAAAGCCAAAGAGACTAAGACTGGAATGTTTTCACAGCTTCTTGTCTGATTCAGAGCAAAGCAGGAGCATGAAAAAAGCAACAGCATATCATAAAGGAAAAATACACTTTCAAACATTTATAACCCCCTGTAGGGTTAGAGTTAATAATTCTGATTCTTAAAAAATGCCTGTGCAAAACTCGCAGCCGACATGGTTATTTTTAATGAATCTTTCCATCCAACTGATTAATTTTTTTTTTGTTATAAATAGTATAATAAATGTAACAAAACAAAAATATGTTGGACAAAATAGCATGAATTGCCAATGTAAACATGATCATGTGTATGTTTAATTTCTCATATCCTCTCAAGTGTGTTCAAAGGTGTATATTCAAACTGTGAAGGGAGAAAAGAGTGGATTTTTGGAAATTATTTATAGAAGTAGAGGGATTTATAGAATTCCCACGATATTCAATCCCAGCAGGAAGACTCTGTTTGATATCACACACATCAAAAACAAATTTTGCCTAAGTTCTGGAACATTCCAATCTACTGCCAAACTCTGAGTGTAGGGACATACATTTTTAAAGATTTAATTGATTTATACTTAGTTTTTCGTTTTAAAGAAATAATTTATCCCAAAATACTGTAAATTCTCTCATTCAACCTCATGTTGTTCCAGACTTTTTTTCCATGGGAAAAAACAGAAACAGGAGAAAACAGGAAGAATGTACTGGAAACTCTTTTCAGTGCAATTATTAGAAACTGGACTAGAGACTGGAGCTTTCAAGCTTCAGAAAGGTTGCACACACCATACAAGTATCATAAACTTCATACTAGAGCCCGACCGATAAAGGATTTTGAAGTCCGATATTGATACAAATATTTATTGGTTTTAAAATCCAATATTCCGACGATAATTTTTTTAAAATTATTATTTCAGAAACGCGCAACAAATTCTAAAACATACATTTTCAATATAACAGGCCAAGGAGAGATGATGCATCTCATTGCTATAAAATTGCTGTCACGCGCTATTAAAGAAATACTTCAGTCACATTGTCAAAAGTTAAAAAGACTAACAACATAACCTAACTATTACTAGCTAATTCCGCTTTACTCTCGGCTTATTTAACAGCAGCAAAACTGGACATGATAGTCACAAATTTTGTCATGCTTATTTGAGTTAGGAGAACTGATGGGGATGTTCTTTTAATTGTTTTTCAAGCAATGTATGTCTCGTGACCAACTCAACGAGTGTTGCCAATAGGAACGGTGTAGAGTGCCCACTGGTGGACAAACTATACAACGCCAACACTTATGACATGGTTCAAGCGTGTTTCCTCCGTTTTTTTTATTTTATTTTTGAAATATTAATTTATCGGCCATTATAACTGCCGATACCGATAGTTTGGAAAATGCCTAATATCGGCCGATAATATCGTCTTGCCGATATATCGGTCTGGCCCTACTTCATACTTCAACTTCATAAACTCATTTGTTAAATTTCAGGTCTTCTGTCAAGACAGTCATTTGGACAAAAACTAAAATTAAAATCGTTTGGGTCTTGGGAACAACGTTCTTCAAAACGTCTTCATTTGTGTTACACAAAAGAAGGTCATATGGAAATGACATGAGGGTGAATGTTGAGAGAATTTGTACTTTTGGCCGTAATTAGTCCACCAAAAAGAGACTACTTAAAAGTAATTGTGTGAAGAAAAGAGCTGACTCACTTGCATCTCCTTGTCTCCATATTTGGAGGGGTTCTTGCTGCCCTGACTCTTCCTGCGCAGTTTCTTCAGTTCAGCCTGGCACTTCTCCAGACTCTCTCCTTTACTTTTGTGTTCCATCTGATATTTCTTCAGAGCTGCCTGCCAGACGAAATAACACAGCTCTCATCACAATCAGCAGCTAAGAAAATTCAAATGGACAAGATGAGAAAAATAATGGTTGTATTTCAAATATCGATATAAAGCATCTATTCCAGTAGAGTGGATGAACTCTAACTTCAACTTGAATAGAATAAGATGTGGCAGTATTCTTGATAACTTTATTCTCAGGACATCCTGAGGTTTAAAGGTTAAAATAAATGTTTATCTTGCCCATCGTGAGTCAGTTGTTTCTTAACAATGCTTTACTGAACTGAATCCAGAATCGAAAAGACCTGAAGGTCGTCATGTGTTCTTTACTAATAGGAACTTGGCTGAGTTAGCCCAATAAGGTCTTTCATTGTCCTCAAAGTGTCTTCCCAGAGCTCCCTGCTTCATGGATTCATTGTGTTTCAGACCAAGCCTCTTTGTTTCCTCTAGTCTTCACTGCCAAAGCCTTCTGCTTCATTTGACTGAGCACTTTTATCTTGTATCCTTACTATGTGTGGAACAAAAAAGCATGGGAGCATAGTTAATGTTTAATTATGTTTGTCAATTCTGGAAATGAGTGACCGAAAAAAATGGGCCTTTGATTATTTTTTTTTTGCAAATAAGCTGAGGGTCAATCTAATGCATTTACAAACAAGCCTTTTAGAGACTCAGTAAGAAGACTTCACAATCTATGTTGCTGAAAGCCTCATTTCAGATGCTTTCATGCATATAAACAGACTTAACACAAACCAGAAGACTAGCCTTTTAGAAAATGTTAGTGTTAATGGTGGTAAGTAATACTGTCAATTTCATTGCATGCAGTAAACTCAGTTATTGCATTTAAAAGTGACAGTATTTGGGGGTGGATAAAGCCAATTAGGTAAAATGGAGAATAAATCTAGTTATGTGAACTAGTACGCCGTCAGCAAGTAGAAAAAAATAGTGATCGACGAGAAAGTGGAAAGAGTCTGAGCTGATCCAGTGGAAAGAGTATTAATGTGAAAGTGTTTTGTGCTGTAGCGTGGCTACGGTGAATGCGTTGTGTGTACGCCTTTTGTTTTAAGTTTGTACAATAAGACGTATGAGTCCCAGTCTCGCCGACCACGGGCCCTATTTTAACGATCTGAAATGCAAGTAGCAAGCGCAAAGCACAAGTAACTTTGTGGGCGGGCCTTGGGCGCTGTTGCTATTTTACAAGCGGGATAAATGACTCTTGCGCCGGGCGCAAGTTTAAAAGGAGTTGGTCTGGAGTAGCTTCATTATTCATAGGTGTGGTTTGGGCGTAATAGAGCATGATGAACGAGGTGCGATTGTTCCATGGCGCAATTCTATTTTAACGGTGCATTTGCCAGGTACGCTTCAGCATCGGTTCACAGCCGAGGAGATCGATGTTCTCGTCAGGGCCGTAAAAGAAAGAGAAGGGGCATTGGGGATGGGACAAACCCACCCAAATTAGCTTCGGTTAAACATGCATATAGTAATTTGGGTAAATGTGTAAGATTTATGCCTATTTTTCCCATCGTCATGGACACAACAATGATTTTATATTTTTCCTTATAATAATGTATCATTTGCAAGAAGTAAAATGCATCTGTGTAGCTGAAAGAATCATCTACAGTGTATGCTCGTTGTTCACACTCTGTATTATGGCCAAGCATGCGCGCTTAAAATAGCATCTGAATGTACACGCAACATGCCACTGACTTTAGACCCCTTTTTTTTTCTGGTCAGTGGCGCAATTATTTTCTGGAACTGGAAAATAGCACCAGGGATTGTTTGCGCTGACACACGCCTCCTTTTTGCGTCAACCCGCCCAGGTAGTGCAAGTTTTTGGAGAAAAAAAGCCCACTTTGCGTGGGTGCAAAATAGGAATGATAAATGTGTTAGTGTATAAAGTCAATTGCGCCGGGTGCAAGATAGGGCCCTATGTCTTCTTCCTTCCAAACACTGAACCTCATCACAATAATTAAACTTTTTTGCCAATAAAATTTCAGCATAATTTTACAAATGTGACCGTACCTTAAGCAAGTGTTTGTGTGTGCTTATATACTTACATTTAAATAGCGAACATCCAATTCCACTTTTTTCTCCAGTTCTGTGAGTAATTCATTGTGGAATGATTTCAGCTGAAAATTACAGTAGACAAATACAATTTATATTATACACACACACTACAGTACAACAGACCAGCAATTTTCCTCATACTGTATATGACAAACATTGATTCTGCATTTGATTACACATTTCACACCAAACTCATTCATTAACACTAGACATAGTGGCCCTACAGAACCAAAACTGATGTCCTATTCATAATACTCCTTTTTCTGCCCTGTTACCATTTTCAGAAGGATTTAGATATGGTTTGTTTGTTTAACATATCACAGCACAGGAAAGTCTGTGTTCTGTCTAAGTTGGTGTGTTTACGTATGTGACCATGGGCTATTGTCCTCCATGTATATACGGAAGCGTCTGAGTCGATGTGACATTTAGAGACGCCACTCCCTTCCATTTCCTTACCCTGGAGGCTAATGTGGGCTCTTAGATACAACCTGACGAGAAAATGTAATGAGAAAATGTGAGCCAATGAGGCAATACGATCTTCATCACATTAATGATACTCACCATGTCCTCTAGCTGCATTTGGATCTGTCTGTGAACCTCCGCCATCTGAAAAAGCACATCCCCTTGAGAGAGAGAGAGAAGGAGAGAGAGAGAAATAGACAGAAGAAATAGATGAAATTGTCATTTTAATACTTTTGCATCTGATATCAGAACACCATGCAGTCAGACAAGGGTGCAGGGAAGAGAAAAAAAAAGAGATAAATTACGAACAAATTATGAACAAGGTGAGCTGACAGTCAGAGCTGGCGCCAGGGCACATGAATTAGGGGGTGGGGGGCCTTTATATTTCAGGGGGTGGGAGGGGGGTCTCAGCGGCACATATTTGTAATCGCTTTCGATTGAGTGTTTGCTTTTCGCTTTTACTTTTGTTTTTGAATATGATCATATGCAGCGGGGAGGGAAGGGGGGCACATTAACTCATTTGGTGGAGGGGGGCATGGCTCGCGAATGCCACCCCTTGGCGCTGGCCCTGTCGACAGTCAAGCTATAGGTGCAAGAAAGAATCTGACAAACATGAGAACTAAAAAAAACAAAAACAAAAAAAAAACACCAGTGTTAAACCATATTGTTTCATTAAAAGACAAACAAAAACAAATGAGAGATCACACTGAAAAAGTAATATTAGTCTGAAATATTCTTCCATGAAGATGCAAAACAAAATAAAAGATTCATGGGAAACAGTAAAAGCATATTGCAAGTGCATGTTTAATAAACATGAGAAACAAATAAGACGATAGAAAAGATGTCAAAAAGGTCATGTTGTTAGTACAGTTTTCTCATATCAACGTATCATTCTGTGGTACGAGAGAGAGAAAAAAGAAGAAAAATCAAAAGAAAAGCACAAAGAGAGAAGAGGTGAATGAATCATGCAGCCATTTGAGGCATGTGTGTTGTGTTGTGGTGTGTTGTGCAGTGTCGGGGTACCTACATGCTGCCTCTTCTGATTAGGCAATGCATTGTAAAAAAAAAAAGGAACAAAAGACCTAGTTTGAGCAGGAACAAATGTACAGAAGACCTTAAGACAGTAGAAAGAGTGAATGAGTAAAACCTCGCAAAACACTAAATGCATAAATAACACCGGTCAAAGGGCTACCCTAGTCTCGTGGCCTACAATATCAATATCAAAGCGGAAAGGGCTATTTGCTGCTGAATCCATAACGCCACAGTGAAAAAATACAGCATTAAGCTACAAGGGCCATCAAAGTATGCAAGTGCATTTGAAGGCTTAAACTGGCTGGTGGCATCCTTGTAGGTGTGCTTATTAAGCCTCAAATCATTTTACTCAATCAAAGCAGCCCATTCATTACATTAGTAATACACACTTACACATGGACAGAAATTATTGTAGAGTACTGCTGAGACATCTTCCTTCCATCCATCCATCCATCCATCAAACTGTTGCCTAACTCTGCATTAACCAGGTTTGAACTGGCTTGAAAAACGAATGAAATAAAATAAAAATAAAAACGCACACACACAATATGCAACATAGAGGGCAGCATCAGCCGCAGACACTTTGAAAAGACAAGGCATTTACAAACAAATCAACTGTAAAAGAACAATGACAGACGTTCACGTTCATGCTCTTGCATGACATCTCTCTAGCTCCTGAACTGGTAATGGATGCAAGTCTTATAGGGCTGTATATGTAGAGGCAACTCATCCCTCATCCCATCATTGTTTGCATGGACGTGATTGATAAATCAAATTGTGCTGCCTGTTATTTTCCATATCACAAGATATATTTAAAAAATTCAATATCAATGCACACATTTATTTATATTTTAAATCCATGCACATCCCTCCACACAGTGTGTTTCATAAAGCATGACTCTGTCTTTGAATCCGTCAAGCTGGACCCAGGACAACTGCACCAGCCTGCAGTACATATCTAATCAAGCCTTCCCTTTAAGCCCTGCCTTCTGAGAAATAGAGGGACAGTCCGTTTTATACAGTTGTTTGAGTTCAAGGTCAGCAGACTGCATCCAACCAGTAACGTCCAACGAAACAGAGAGATTAATAAGGGTGAACATGCAAACACATATTATACATATGCTTATCTTGCTGTATCCAAATTCAGTACATACTTTTTGTTGTGGTAGAATGAAGAAAAAAATAGCAAGAAAGGGGAAGCAGGCATGAATAGGACACTTTCTAAGGTACCAAACAAGAATAGCCTTAGTTTTCTAATGGGAACTCAATTAAATATTTAGAAAGAACTTCATTAGATATGATGGGCAAGTGACTCGACAACATTCGAAACAAAAAATTGTTGCCGTTTTTTTTCCATAGCTCGGAAGATGTAATGGGGATCTCAGTTATTCTTCATCAAAGTATCACAGATGTTTCCTCAAAACTTCTCTAGGAGAAATAAACAAGGCATTTGTCTAAATACAGTAAAAGTATTGTGATACAAAATTAAAAAGGATAATTGAGAAATTTCGAACTGCCAAGTCTGCAATTACATCTGAGCACAAATTGTAACACTCTTTAGATGTCTTCTGAAAGTCTATACACATGTGAGATCACTAAGATGTTTTTCTCAAGGCGTTCTAGGAGAAACAACTGAGCTATTAAATATCATCTGTAATTTTTCTTCCTATGGGCATACTATTTCCGGTTTATATAAAAGTGCATGACCATGCCCTAGCCTCACCCGGTTGTCCCCAGTCCAGATCTCGTCTGTAGGTCGACACACTCTCATTTCCTGTCTAAGTCAGCACAATGGTCTGACACCACTCCCCGTCCTCATCCTTCACACCCCCGAAGCTCTCTGCTGCAATTCAGCCGTGCTCGGCAGGGCTCTAAGCCGCTTACCAGTAATCAGCACGGATCACAACATCTGCAGCTTTGAAAGACTTAAACATATTGTTGTCCGCTCTTAAAGGGCCGAATCAATTAAGGTAGAGTCTGAAGAAACACTGGGGCATAGTCGGCACCCTAAAAAAACGACTAAAAACTGTCATGTTTGACAAAAACATCAATCATCAATACTTTTTAAATGAAGCACTGAGGACTTAGGCAAGAATAAATGCAAAAAGATAAAGAGCTTAAAATGAGTGATTTTTGATTTGCTGTGCACAAGTCAACATGAAACCCATTTTATTTTTGTAAAATGATACTTTTCTACGGACCCACGCACATGGCATGCACGTAGAGGTCAAAGTATCATGGCCACAAATTAAGAATTTGTTCCCAACACATATTTGTTTCCTTGTTGGCCACAATTTAACTAAAGCGAGGGAACAAATTAGTACAACGTGACTGATTTAACACAACGTGACCATGATTTTACTCTTTTTTTTTTTTTTTTTTTCCACATGTCATGTGTGGGGCTCCATACCTTTCAAAGTAAAACAGGATATTCAAAAAAAATAAAACTTAGATTGTGACTGAGAAGTGGCCTTTTTATACCATGGTTGGCGAAGCAGCGGCATCGCTGTATGACACCGTAGAGTCACTGGGTCAACCTAACCTTTCCAAGGGAAGATGAGCTCCATAATGTACTCTCATCAGAAAGCAAGTGAGAGAGTGCTACACTTTCCTTATCTTTTTCTTCTTTCTTTGCCCATTCTTCGGTTGTCCTGTCTCTTATTAAACTAACTCAATTCTCCCTCTCCATCTCTTGATGTTCTTAAATTGTTTTACTCTTTACCCTTGGTAGAAGTAATAAACACCAATATGAGGTTAATTATACAGCACACAGATGGATGTGATAAACGTTAGTGCCTTCGAACCAAAGTCTCCAAAGCGCTGGAAGACGCTTTACAGCAGAACTTTTATCAATAAAAATGACATAAACCTAGAGCACAGCTCTTTCTTTCCAATAAGCTCACATATGGTTGTATATCTATAGGCATAACAAACAAAACAGTCAAAGTGATCCATATGCTTCAATATAATAATCCAGCCGTATTTGAATCTGTAAAACTCACTGACCCAAAACGAAATGCATTGATGCCTCATTGAGCTTGAAACTCCTAAATAGTTATTTGCGGACATTACTTGGTGGCAGAGGACTGTATACATGACTATTAGAGAGCAGCTGATGAGGTCGTAATGGAGATTGATTACTGCAGCAGAACAGATTCAGGGAGGGGGTGTTGTGGGTTGGATGTGCTGGGCAGCCAAATTCATTTTAGCAAATATCGAAGTAACATTATTATCATTGTCCATGGCTATTGAAATTTATTTAGACCTACAGGTGGCTAAATAATGAATAATTTGAAGCAAAAGCTTGAGAATTAATTATAAAACAAATCTATTTCCAAACCTAGTGAGCTGCCTCACTATCTACACCTACATATGTCTGTCTAGTTCAAAGTAAAATTTAACCTTATAAGCAACTGATTTAGAATGCAACTAATTCCATTGGAGTCGGGCATTAGAATGTTGCTAAGCTAACAAAAATATACTCTAATGAGAGTTAAAAATCAGGAAAGTTGAGGAAAATAGCAACTTTATACTTTGCAATATTTACTTTACAAATCAACACTTTTACTACTATTAATATTATTTAATTTTATTCAAATTTGTATTCATTTTGAGGCTTGCCACAATTCATTCTGGGATATTTTGGAAGGAAAGTACCTACATGATGCCTTAAAATGCTGTCTAAGTAGCTCGGTTTGGAAGGCTTACAAGTTACAAGTTAATTTCTTAATGTTCATAAGCAAATTTTTCTCTATCTATAGCATGACCCACTAATTTGTCTACCATCCTTTGTGAGAGGATGAAATGCTATTGAAAGAATGTTCTCCAAAGCAGCCCTGATGCAAGTCACAGCAGTGGATCCATTGCCAAGCGACTCCTCTGTTTGCAATGGCATCTGTAGCAGCAATTATCAGCTCTGTGATTCATTCCTCAGAGGTGTTTGAACCATTTGTCGTTTTTTGTATGTGTGCTTGTTTGTGTGTGGAGGGACAGATACCCAGAGGGTGAGACAGTGGCTTTCAGTGTGGTGAGGAAATACTCAAACCATGTTATAACACTACAAATCCCACCTAGTGAAAATGAAACTTAAAAGGTGGAAGTGAGTAAGGCAATTGATACTTGGAAATTGTCCTCTGCATTAAGTTAGTGCACAGACATTAGGAGTAGTGAGTAGAGAACACACACACTGCAAACTGTGGATGCACACACAGTGGGCAGCCATTTTTGCTGTTGCGCCTGGGAATCGATTGGGGGTTAAGTGCCTTGCTCAAGGGCACCTCAGTCATATCCTACCTAACCATTAGGCCACAACTGGCCTGAACTTTGTCTGTGCCAACCTGCTGCTGTGCTCCCAACATCAGAATAGAGTCAATCACACAATAAAGTGCTATTTCAGCTATTCCTGTGGTGAACAGGAATGGAAGGTTTGAGAACTGAGAGGGAGAGAGAGAGAGAGAGAGACTGCTGTATATGTCTACAGAAAAATATTTACACAGTTTTTAAATGTCTTGTTGAATGTTTATTTTATTTTTATTTGTGTATGGTATTCTATTACATGTTTTATTGTATATTCTGCACTAAATATTTAAACATCTGAACTATTATGTAAACCCAAAAACACACACGACCTGCAGTGCTCAATTTAATTGTGAACATTATGAACTAGAGCCAGACCGATATATCGGCAGGCCGATATTATCGGCCGATATTAGGCATTTTCCAAACTATCGGTATCAGCAGTTATAATGTCCGATAAATGAATATTTCAACATTAAAATAAAAATGGACGAAACACGCTTGAAACATGTCATGAGTGTTGGAGTTGTATAGTTTGTCCACCAGAGGGCAATGTTCTGTTGCGACAATAAAAGAAACAAGTTTCTTTTTAAAATAAAAAGAAATCGCGGCACCAATCAGAAACGTTGGGGCGGGCTTTACACGATGTTGACAGTGCTGGGATTTTGAAGCAGATTTTGTAGCCTACATTACAAAGATGGATGCCGCCGT